TAAACATTTAGTATAAATATTTAATGCAAAATAAATAAATAAACTGCCATAACTTCTAAACAAAAACATTACTGCATTACATTTAATAGCCTACACTTATAGGCCTACATGACTATTAATATAACAGCATTTTTAATATGAATACAGGCACATTTCTGCCAAAAAATTTGTTTTACTAAGTTACAGTTAATTCATAAGTTGTGGAGTGAAATGTCTTCTAACTGGTTTGTTCTTGGAACAATGTTTCACCTGTTTTTTTTTGCGTCAAGATGTTGAGAATATCAGCGCTGTTTAATCTGGCTTTTAACTAGCTTAAATCACAGCCATCTGTGGGTTTATAATAGAGATAGAGAATTCTGCGCTGAATTGAAATGCTTCTCAGTGGATCGCGCAACTCTGTGTAATAATGTTCGCGTGATCGAGATTAGTCCGCACAGCTGCTTCGGCCGCGATCGCAGTTTTTTTGGGCCGAGCTGATAATGCTCCGCGCTGGCATCCAACTTAAAGGTGCATTGCTGCCACCTACAGTACTGGAGTGTGAAACAGATTAGTGGGGGGAAAAACAGGTTATGACTGCGTGTGTGGCGGGTGGTGGGCCGGCCCGCCGGCCGTCCTGGAGTACCGGCCGTTCTGTGATACTCCAGATCACACAGATGGCCAGTCCGCCCCTGTAACCGTCTATGAAAAGCAGTTCAGTGGAATACAAAACCACATTCTTTAAGAAAGGCCCCCGCCCATCACAAGTGTTTTTGTAATGCAGAGTTGTGGAATTGGGAAAAAACACAAGGTCTAGAGTCATGTTTTTTTTTTTTAAGTTACAAGTTTTTGGCCGCTGCTATTTTAGAACAATGTGTCAAGTGTGAGACACTGAAAAAGACACAAGATGCAAATGCAATGGGCAAACATGTCCATAGTGCATGTTTCCATATAAAAACAAAGGAAAAAGCTGGGCAGTAGAATGGAAAAACACGTTCTTCGTGAACAGCCCTTAAGGGACGTTTAAAATGGGTAGTGGAATAAAAAAATGCAAGGTCTAGAGACACGTTTTTTTTTAAAACTCAGTGCTCATGCACGAGAAGCTGAACAAGATGCAAGATGCGCATGTTTATATACATAAACAACGTAAGAGAGCGCAGTGGAATGCAAAACACGTTCTTCATACACAAAAGAGCACCCTGAATATTCTGCCATTTATATTAAGATTTTTTTTTAAATGGTGAGCAGAATGGTCGATTTTTCTTTCTTTTTTTTTGGCCTAACTATTCCCTGGCTGACACTGAGTGGTAAGGTTTAGTTGAGTTTGACAGCTACGTCTCCCAGGTACAGACTTCAGCGTAGGCCTACACGTTTCTGCAGTCATTCCTGATATTGGTAGCTGGTGGATATAATGAAGACTCTGGCACCTTTCCCAGCTGTAAACGGATCAACTACACGGTCAAATTGTACAGTCACGACAAGATACAAACACATGCTCATAGATGCACTACAGAGAGGCTGAGGCAATGGGAATCGTAGCCGAACATAAATTAAAGGGGCGGATGGGATGGCACATTTCCATATAGGCAACACCCCCATGCACCATGGAAATGCTGTTATTTTTCATGTGCTAAATTGTTTTTCTGCTACTGTTTTTACTTCAAAACAACTGTTTACTTACACATTCGAAAGGCTAAGGTGTTTTGGGTGACTGCCAGTGTGTTGCTATGCAATTGCAAAGGTTTTTGATTTGTTTTTAGCACATTGCTATGCTAGGGCGTTAATGGGTTTGCCGGTGTGGACAAATCTGGTCCTCCCTCGAAATGGGGCAAACTCCAATTCAAGGAAAGTCTGTCCACTTGGAGACCACATTTGCAACACCGGAATGTATTCCGCCATATTGCGCGTTGCAATTTCTTCGATTCATGAAGCACTTCCGGCTTCATCGTCCCGAAGTCAATGAGTTTTTTAAATACGTTTTTGGTTAAATGGCTGAAATAAGGTCTGTGGTGAACACAAGCTTAAGATACTTTCACGTCTTATTCCACGACATAAAATACATCAACTTAACCCCACTCGTGATTTTTTGAAGCTGTTACATGTCTTGAAAAAGGCGGTTGCTAACAAGTGGTTAAATAAAGACTAGGCTGTCGAGGAGATTAAACGTCATCACGCAGAAAAGGTAAGCTCAGTCCGCTTTTACAGCATCGTTATGCTTATAATTGTGCTCTTATAAACTACTCTAAATCAAACATTCTGGAAAAATGTTTTTAGATAAACACTGAAAGAGTTGTTGGAAGCTTAGTTATGGTAACGTTGAATGGGCTATATGCGCGCATAACTTCCGCGTTTGATGCAAGGATGCTCTTGCGTTTCCGGTTGGGGAGATTTAAAGCGGAGGAAAACCGAGGAAAATGGGATTATGGCAGAGTCTTCAAAATGTACTGTCCTCTCGTCTTTGAAACGAAACTTTAATACGTTTAGATGTAATTTTATATATAGTGTTTATTTAATGTAATAAACAAAGAAGCATAAACAAAACGAGGGGTGTCTGTTTTGTCTGTTTTTGTGACTAACGTTTCTTTAGTATAGCAATAGAGTATAAAAACCAATATAAATTCTCGGTATAGCATTGGACTCTACGATCGGTGGAAGTAATCCAGCATCCTTAGACCTTCACCGGAAATACCGCCGTGCATAGAGCCCATTTGTGGGACCACGGTGTACCTTTAGCTTTTTACTTCTGGTGACTGCATTTAGGCTTCAAAATACATAAAAGTTGTGATCATCTGTGATAATTATCTTAATGGACAAAACGTGCAAGTATCATAAACTTGTGTTGATCACAGAGCTTGTTTTTAGCGATAATCCAAAAGCCTATGGGAAAATCCTATTGGGTCGACAAAGTGACGTCATATCTGCACAACTCTATGGTACTCTCTTTAGCGCCTGATTACTATTCCTAAAAAATCATGTTATGATAAATGTTAGAACTACGTTATAATGACCATTAATGTCTGTACTAGTTTGCTTGTGTTCTAGCATAGCATGCAGATACCTGATTAGCCTAATAGCTTAGTTTATACACACATTTGCACTTACCCTACATGTATTCACAATCATCTTTAATGTAATTAAATGTTAATTTCAGTGTTAAATGTCCAAATATTTCAGTTATAAAAAGAACAATGTTCAATTATTCACTAAATAGGCGATTATTAATTAATTAATAACACTTTATCAACTGAAATTATTTTCAGTTTGTTTTATTATGCACGATATAGTGCATATTTTAAATTAATATAATTTGTTTGTACTTAATATAATAATTAATTGACAGTTGATAGAGACCCGATTTGTCATGACACCGGCCCAAGTCAAAAGAACCCACCTCAAAATCTCTATAATATGGACCTTCTTTCAAAAAGTTTTTCTCACTTTTGATCCAACTAATGAGCAGAGAAACCAAGAAAAACTAAAAAGGAAATAATAGAGAAAACCTCTGCCGACCCTCATGTGGCTGCACCCGATATCGCATCTCTTGATAGGTAGGTACTTTTACATGTATATTCAACTGATAAAAAGTTCTATATGATCTATGTATGTCAGTAGTATGAATCATTAATCTGGATGTAATACATTTGTCATGTGACCATTTTTAAGTAGTACTGTTACATGATGAAAAATGTAGTCAGTACATTACACATTTTAGGTAATATAATAAGACTACTATTTGTTTACTTTTGACCCAACACTTTTATCATACTGATTTGAATAGGATAATCTGATCTGTACCATTTTGATATAAAAATACAAAGAGAACGGAAATATATTCCATTCTTTTTGAAGGGCCTTAAAACATCTTTTCCTTTACTGCCAAGTCAACTCCTCTCCGCCTCGTGGGATAGTCTACTAGAAGCACACTTAAGAGTCTCATCAGAAGTAGTAGGTCATCCAGGTACTTCACCTACTGTTTTACAAGTATTATGAATTAAGGATGTGTAATGTGTAGTTTACCATAATATGATTGTTGTTTTAATGATGTGCAAAGTTATGGAGAATGGTGCTTACTTTGAAAAAAAAAGAAAAAAAAACTCAAGAGTGCACACTTTCACTGCGTGTCAGATTCAACTCCCCAAAAATACTGGAGATGCACAACATCTGTAGAGTACAAAACAGGAGTAGTTGTTCTTATTAAAGATAGACTGGACACTCCAACCCCTGCAATCATATGTTCAGGTGATCATGATAATTATCCTTCTACAATACCACTTAATCAGTGGGGTGCCAAACCAGTCTGATCTAAAACGCTTTACCCACAGGCCTGCTGAATGGCTTCGTTTGCCCTTCAGGCACAACCTTAAATTATCTCCTCGCATGCAATCACTGCAATGTGATTAAAATGAACGCTTTGCCTACACATGCGCTTCATTTCAACAGAATTAACAGCTCTGGGAGGAACAAGTGATGATAATTGTGGTGTTTTGGGCCATCTTTTGTGGAGACAGAAGGATCTCATGCAAGCAGAGAGAAAACATCGCAGTTCAGAGGTTACGAGCTCAGGGCTTCACGATGCACAATACGATAAGTGCGTCACCATGACTACACAGGCACTGGGCCAAAAGGGTGGGAAGAAAGATCGCACATAGCTGAAGTTCATCTACTGAGCGTTTTAGCCATCTGAACCTGAAGAAAACTTTGTGCGTTGATAAATGTTCTGTGGCGGGAGCTAAGCGAAGTGAAAACTGAAGTCAATAGGCTTTGCTGTATTGCAGTCGTGATGCACTCAGGCTCAAAGGAAAGTTTCACTTCTACCTCAACAGTTTTTGATCTGATTTCTGCAGTGATGTTCTGAAAGGCTGAAAGGAAAGGTCAGGTTAATATTCTCTTCCCAGGGAAGGCGATAACCAAAGTACATTAAGCTTTCAGACTTCGGTTTTTCAGACACCATACCTATTTTGAAACTTTCTCTTTAATTGGGTACGAGGGAAGAAAACAGACCACGTACTCATTCCTTTGCAGCATTTCAGTTAAATGTTTCTTAGTCAAAACTAAATCCATTAAAACGGACAGTATACATTTATAACACATACCACAAGGTTGAAGAAAACCTCACAGTCAAGAAATAAGGTTGACAAAAGTATTGAGAAGCAAGATAAATACACTAAATCATTGTGTACATTTCTGAAGGATGATCTTTAAGTCCCCAAAAGCAGGCTGGGATTGGTTTAACTTCCGGTTTTGTGTCAAACCATTGACGGACCCCAGTCCTGAGCATACAGGTCCATGTCAATTCATAGCAATGAATCTCACTGGCCGCTTTCGTCTTGTCCAAGGATATTTTTTAACTTCTTAAATTTGTTTTTCCCCATTCTTTTCTTCAAGTTCTTCTTTTTCATTTTGTTTTTCTTCTCAAACTGGCTCCCCTTTTTCTTCTCCTTTACTACCTCTTTCGTTGAATCTCCGTTCAGTTCCTTAACCTTCTGCTTTCTGACCGGTTTCTCAACCTTTTGGGAAGTTTTACCATCCAACTTGGCAATTTTGGCTTTTTTGGGACCATCAGATTTCTTATTCTCAGATTTCACTCCAGCTTTCTTTGTGATGATGGGCGTCTCAGATTTGTTCTGTTTTAATTTCTGCTTCTTGCCCATACTGCTTTTCGCTTTAGTTGAAGTGGGCTTCTGTTCCTTAGATTCTGGCTTTTGGATCTGCTCCGATGAGGCTGCAGTCTCCATTTTTGTAGATTCAACTTCATTTTCTGAAAAATAAATTCAAAACATTAACATCAGACAAAATAAACAAATTGTGGAAACCATGGGAAATAACTACGCACCTGTTTCTTTTGGTGCAGTAGGGATTGTGTTAGACACCTTCTTTAGCTTGGCCACAAAAAATCCATCCATGTTGTGGGAGTGAGGGTAGAATCGGCGAGACAGTTTGAGAGAGGGATGGAAACGTCTCTCTTTGAATCTGTGGAAAAGAGATGTGCATTATTTAATACGCTTTTTCTGGCAAACTCACTCGCGTAACTCAATTTCTGGGAGTGCAGACTTTATTATTGTAGATGGATCTCAAGTAAGGCCTCATTACCTGGTGAATCCCTCCTTGCCAAAGTCCAGTCCAGCAGGGACCAGCTTAACATTTCTCTTCTTCAGAGCATAGTCCACAACCCACTCATTCTCCTCCACCTATGGGGAAGACAAATCTTCATAAGAAATTCACTTAAAAAATGAGAATATTTAGGAGGACATAAAATGAAATCATCCAGACATTTCAGTAGGTTTTCAGACAAGGATTCATACAATTACTCTCCATCCATCTCTTCCACCTTTCCTTTAAATGTTGGACTATAGCGCTGGTTTAAAATGCAATATCTGAGTCAGTCCATGTCAAATCAGACAATGAAAAAAGGTTTATGCTGCACCAACTCCAACAAGATTTAGTTCATATGTAGCTTATTTGTTGTTGGTAGGGGTGGGCGATATGGCAAAAATATCATATCACGATTTTTTTCAGGAAAATCACGATTAACGATTTTATCACGATTCTTTTTCATGTTGGTTTTACTATTTTGCAAGTGACTGAGCATTACAGCCAAACTAATGTCCCTATTTAAAAAAAAAAAAGCCTTATAGGTAACAAAAGAAAAAAGAATGGCAGACATTTAGGCCAAAGTGGCGAAGATAAAAATCTTTATCATTATTTTCTTTGTTATTAAGAATTAGGAACAAAGATAAACATTAAGCATACACAACTTAATATACAAATGAAATAAACAGTGCTTTATTTTTTCAGCTACAGTAGGAGTATTTAACAGTAGCATTGAAGAAAGTAATTAGGCTAAATGAACAAATACGAAAATAAAACACAACATAGACTTCACTGTATAAATTATACATTGATTATTATTAAAGCTACTACTAAAGTTCTCAGTCAAGAGCAGTGAGTGATTTCCTCTTTGTGTTTTGTTGTTTTATTAACATTAAAGGGATAGTTCTCCCAAACATTTTAATTTTCATCATTTACTCTCTCAAGTTGTTTTAAACCCGAATAAGTTTCTTTCTTCTGTTGAAAATAAAAGTTATTTGGAAGAATGTGGCTAACCAAACAGTTGCTGTACTCCAGTGACTTCCATAGTATATGTTTTCCTACTATGGAAGTCAATGGGGACCAGCAACTGTTTGGTTAGCCACATTCTTCCAAATAACTTTTATTTTCAACAGAAGAAAGAAATTAATACAGGTTTGGAACAACATTAGAGTGAGTAAATAATGACAGAATTTTTATTTTTGGGTGAACTATCTCTTTAAGGACAAGAGGCAGCTTGTTTACTAACTGGCTACTTTCGCTTTAAGAGCTGCACGCGACGCGTCTAATATACACGCATTTGACAAGCAGATTTTCTCTCATTTTTTTTCTGTTTGCTTTCACTTTAGACATAACCAACTTTGTTTATGTAAACCTTGTGTGTATTTGACAATATTAGCGCAATAAGACTCGAAAGATAACTTATAACGTAGTCCAGTAAACAGACGCTGTTAGACAGGCTTTTAGTGCCCGTGTGCTTCGGGTGTATGCGCTCAGAAAGCACACGTCAGCAGAACAGCGCATCAGCACGTGAATTACATGTTTAACCAGCAAGGCTTTAAAGCACATGCAAATAATGAACTTCTGTGAACGGCAGTGTCCCGTTCCTCTGCGTTAACATTTGTTGTATGTTGAGACGGAGCTCGGCGCCAGAACTGCAACTGATAAAATGCACGATACTACGATATTTCTTCAAAAGCAGATCGTGGAGACATTTTAATCGTCCACGATCAAAAACCGTGGTATCGCACACCCCTAGTTGTTGGTGACCTAAAAGGTTAGTAAAATATTTATTGTAGATTCTAACACTTCAGGCCCCTGAAGCATTCATTATTTCCAGGCCAAAAAACGTCTCATGTGGAAAGCCATGTTCAGGGTATGATTTCTTAAAGGGGTCATATAATGGTACATGCACTTTTACAAGTTGATTGTACTGAAATGTGTGTTGGCAGTGTCTGTACACAACCATCATATAATGATAAAAATCCATCCAGTGGTTTTGTTTTAATCTCCTTATATGTTTTCCCGTCTTAAATTGAGCCGTTCGTTTTTGTGACGTAAATAAAACGGACGCCCCTCCAACGATTGTTGATTGACAGCCGCGTTTCAACACAGACCCGCCCTCGCTAGCTGTCAATCATAGTCAGCGCGGACCGGCGCGGTCATTGTTGATATGCTGGAGCGCTGTCTGTGAGCAGAATGGCGTCTAAGCGATTGTGGTGTTCTGTTCTTGGGTGTAATAACGAACACAGCAGTCATTTTAATGTTCCTAAATCCGAACCGCTGAAGACGCAGTGGCTGAGTTTGTTTTCGAAGGGAATATTCCCCACGAGCAACGTCAATGCTCTCATGTTTGCGCGATTCATTTCACACACCAGACTGCTTTATAAACGAGGATCAGTATAAAGCTGGTTTTGCTAAGAAGCAGCTCCTGAAGAAAGGATCGGTAGCAGATATTCGTGTTCCTGCTGAACCTCCAAAAGAACTGAAGTGAGTGTAACGTTTTATTAAACTTTATATTACTATTTATATTAATCCTTGTAAATCGCTAGCTGCATGCTTCACAATGAATGCGTCTAAGGTTTACACTCAGGGTACATTACGGCATGTTTCTATGTATGATGTTCTCAATATAATGCATAATCCCACGTTTATACTGAACAACGCGTTATGGTTATTGTGTTATTGTGTTACAAACGGTGTATGCCAGAGCCGGCTCTGGTGACGCATAGAACAGAGAGGCGGAGTCAGCAAAGCTCATGATCATTTAAAGTCATATGCACTGAAACGGCGTGCTGAAAACAGAGCTGTTTTTGACCAGGTAAAATAAGTGTTTTCTTACAATACTAATGAGAATTTTTAATTAAAGTATATTACAAACGTTTAATTTAGACCCTAAAGAATCATATTAGCTTGTACAAAAATGGCATTATATGACCCCTTTAAGTATTATGATTGCTGGCCACTAAGGAATTGGTCATTTGTTCCCGTCAAACACGAATGGCTTGCAGTCTCCTCTGAGACACAAATATTTTCATAAAATGTGTGTGAGATATTAACATTTGAAGAATCTTGAAAAGCAGCATGGGCACACATTACCGTTCAAAGGTTTGGGGTCGATTTAATGTTTTTTAAAAGAAATAGACTTTTATTCAGCAAGGATGCATTCAATTAATCAAGTGTGACAGTAAAGACATTTATAATGTTACAAAGGATTTCTAGTTCAAATAAATGCTGTTCTTTTGAAATTGTTCGATTTTTCAAATCATCCTGTCTCATACTTTCCACAAAAATTATTAAACAGCACAACTGTTTTCAACACTGATAATTAGATGGATCATGTGACACTTAACCCTTTCACACGTAAGTTTAAAATATTCTAACTGACCCCCCAGCGTGAGTTTTTCAAGGCGACCGTTATTTAGAACCTGTCACTTTAATGTTTCCATGGTGACGCGTCATTTCTTGTCACGTGACACAGCGCAATCACAACACAGAGCTGAATGAATGATGATCTGCTTTTGTCTTTTTTCCTTTTCAATTCAAAATATTCACAAATGTATTAGCTATAGCATGAAACACTGATATTCCGATTGTCAAATATATGCAAGTGGATGGGTTTTGTTGTTTAAACACCTTTATAACGATCGCGTTAGTTGAGCTCTATGCGCGATGGGCGGCGCCATGTTAGTTTGTTTCACAGTTCAGAGAATCGGATCTGTTGTTTCTCACGAAATACATGAAAGTGGCCGGTGAACTGGGAGCAGAATAGGGTAAAATGTAAAGCTATTTACACAATGTGTATCTGATATGAATAAAACGTTTTGTCTTATTATAATGGAAAGGATTATTATTGCCGCTTCCATAGACATCAGTGTGTATTTTACTAACTCAAAATCATTGTTTTGCTAGTACTTATGTGTATTTAAATGTCTGAAACCTAAAATAAACATTATGTGGTTTAAAATACTCAATAGTTGTGATATATGACAGCACTGAGTGCGTCTGTCTCTGGCTCAGCGCCAGCCAACGCGCGAAAGCACGTTTGAATTTAGCAGTTGATCACGTGATGCACTGACCGTTCTAATCACACCGGTGTGATCGTACGCTCCAGGGACCAGCCAAGACTGATCACACCGGTGTGATCGTACGCGTCAAAGGGTTATTAAGACTAGAGTAATGGCTGTTGAAAATTCATTTTAAAACAGAAAACAGTTATTTTAAATTGCGATTTGATTAATTTTGCATGAAATAATTATACCAATCCCAAACTTTTGTAGTAAGGGTAGTGGATGACTTCAAGCCTAATTTTTCATATATAAAACTAAAATTTAAAGTCCCCCTGTAATTAATTTTAAAGGATAAAACTTATCTTTGATCACCAAAATGACATATTTAAAAGTCTTTTTCCCCCTTTAATCTATAGACCTAAATTATAATTTATTGCAGTTTTTTTTTTTTTATTACTATTCAGTTACCAAAGTGCAACAAATAAGACGTATTAAATATCAGATATGTTCTGCACACTGGATGTCAGAGACTAAAATAAATGAATCTGTATTGGTCAACTCACCATAATAGAGCATGTGGAATAAACCAGGTATCCGCCAGTTGAAGAATCAGCATTGACAGAGTCGATAGCAGACAGGATGAGCTCCTTCTGCAGGTGAGCCGAGCGAAGAATATCAGCCTCATCCTGAGAAAGAGAGAAATACTTTAGAATTCTGAATGGAGGACGTGCAAAAACTAAACAAATCCTTCAGAATAAAGGCTGAAGGAAGTCTTTAAAAACTGCCAAAAGAATGAAAACAGGTGACTTTCAGAACAGAATCACCTTGTTGGTTTTAACTGCTGGATCTTTGGAAATGACTCCTGTACCGGAGCAAGGAGCATCCAAAAGCACTCTGTCGAAACCTCCCATCACCTACAACACAAAATGAAACGCCTCAGATTAGACACTGCTTAGGGGAATGATGCCAAAAACAAAGCAGAAAAAAACGAAAACTAAATATTTTAAGACAGAAAATGAAAACCGGACAATGCAGACCTTTGGGAATTGTCTGCCGTCATAGTTGCAGATGACCGCATTAGTGACACCGAGACGATGGATGTTTCCCACCACACTCTTCAGTCTCTCTGCATTTGCGTCATTAGCCACAATCATGCCTGTGTTCCTCATGAGCTGAGCTGCATCACACAAACGATACACATTTTGGCTTTAGACACTCCAGAATCATTTCCTGATGCTTACTTTTTAACACAACATTGTAGAAAGGCAATCATGTGCATTATTTCTACATGGCTTTTATTCTTCGGTGCCGACTGTGCCAAAAAATAAAAAAAGACTCTGAGATTCGCCACTTTACAAAAACACAGCAGTTGGTGTGACTGCCATGGAGAAGCATATGCTCACCCATATATGTGGTCTTGCCTCCTGGAGCGGCACTCATGTCTAACACTGACTCCCCCTCCTGAGGAGACAGCGCCATTACAGGAAGAAATGATGATGCACCTTGCAGCATGTACTGGCCTGCCAAATATTCTGGAGTTGCTCCTGTATGAAAGAGAGAATTACAATTAACACTTACAATAACCAGTAAATGAACGAAGAAAAACAATGTAATTTTGAAATGACACTGGAACTGACCTATGGGAACAGAAGAGTCGTAGATAACCAGCCCCGTTTTGGACCATTTCCCCAATGGATCCAGGTTTACTCCTCTGTTAATCAAAGCCTGTGTTAAAAAAAAGAAGCCATAAGAACCAGGATCCATTTGTGAACCAGACTGACATGTGTCAATGACATTCTGGGTTTGTTTACACCTGTTATTAACGTCCGTTTTGGTCAGACGTGATGCTTGGTAATCTCTTAAAAAAAGAAAGGTTCCTAAAGGGGGTTTTCGCGGTGACGCTAAAGAAGAATTATTTTTGGTTCCCCAAAGCACCTTTCTGTGAACAAGTCTTAACACTAGAACGGCCACGGCGGTCATTTCGACCGTTTTGAATTTTATATCTGCAATAACTGTTGAAAAAATAAATAAAATCCTGCTGGTACCTGACTTTTCCTAAAAGTGTCTGTATTTTCATTTAAAATGTTTTTAATATAAATTACACATAAGGCAAAAAAATAAATGAACATATTTACCTATTTCGGCCATAGACGGTCATATTGACCGCACTGAATTTCGCGGTATTCTTTTGTTACATTTCTCGCGGTTGACCTTTGTCTATTAGGAAATAATCAGAAGATTCAATTGCAAAATGACAGATATGTTTATTGAGAGCTGGTCAGATGCTGGGAGAGTTAAGGTGTGTAAATGTCCGGTATGAAGCCCTTGGCAGCACAGGGACGCTGCGTGTAGAACCATGGAGTGCTGAACACGGGATGACACACGGAAAACGGATACAGGCAGGGAACAAACACGCAGGAAAAATCCACAACGATCTGACAAAGACTAGGCAACAACAGTAACACTAAAAAGGGTCGAATCGCTGATCAGTTGCAGCTGGCGCGTGAGCTGCAATGATCAGCGACCACGCACACACGCACGCACACACACACAACAAGACGAAAAAGGAGACAGCGAATTCATAAACCGTGACATTGTCTCTCTCATTGTCAAAAGAATATCTAAATAAGATACTTTTAGTTGTTATTATCTTGTTCTGAGTTATGTTGAATGGATATGGAAATATAGCTAGGCCTAGCCTATCTGTTGTGAATATGCGATAATTACGGGCTACTGATATTATTATTTATAAATGTATAATTAAAATTTTTTAAATGTACAGTTTGGTGTTGTTTTGTTTTTAAAAGATATCATAATACAATAAATGCGTTAATCTCTCAATTGGGAATTTATCATTAAAGGAGTCATAACCTAGTATTACCTTGGATACCCACACTCTATTATAGTCTTTCAGGCCCTTCTAAAAAAGAAGTGGAAAAAAAGTAAACACAGAGCTCCTCTGACCCTTATTTCTGAATGCATTATTGTCTCGCGAGATTTGATGCGATATTTTGGCTGTCGTGGACGGTCATTTTAATAATGCAAATGAGGGTCGCGTTGATTGGTGGCAGGAAGGAGGGCGCTTGACGCCGCAGGTAACTTCAGCATATCATTCCAAAATGACATCATGGCGCAAGTTGTGAATGAACCCGACCTGGCCGCGACCTACGGAATTCAACCATATATGTTTGAGCCAGACTCTGAACCAGAGCTGGAAACGGAAGATAGAGTCAATGGAAGGACGTCTAGCTGCTACATCAACATGTCTCTGAATGGTAAAGACAATCATTTTGACTGAAACATACATTAACATCAGTAACGAGCTAAAACGTTTGTTGCTATTTTCTCCCACATAAGTTTACCTTTTATTTAATGTAGATTACATTAACGGAGATGTAGTCTACTTTTTTTATCAGCTTACAGTGGTTATAGAGATCAACGTTTGCTATCATGTGTTGTTTTTGCTTTGTTTCACGTTGTGGTTTTTTAGAATATTTTTCATCTACAGACATGTAACGTGATGATTCCTGTATAAAATGTTTAGCGCACACCTAACGTTGAGCCAGTTGATAGGGTTGTTGGAACAGCGTCATTAAAAATTAATCTCATCCACTGGTCCCTGGTAGTTTGGTCCGTTTTTGGTAGAGAAAACACATTTGAATGTTGATTCTGGCAGTCAACCACAGAGCAACTCACGTGTGCACTACATTTCTGCATCTTTCTTGACTGAATATGAGGGGGAGATGGGCAGGGCGGGCTTCCTGCAGCATATGTCTGCGGTGTCCATATATGGTATATCCTGCCCCGTCTTGACGTCAAGTCGGGGGAGAAATTAAAATCTCGTATTTGAGTGTGTGTGCACGTGGGCTGGTTTACGAACCCTGGGGTAAACAAACGCTTCACTTTTGAATATCGGCTTCCCGGCCAATGTATAATCGTTAGGCAATCATAACATACATTGATTCTCGTGGAAAAGTGAAAATTACAGGTTATGACTCCTTTAAAGATATAGAGATTGCAATCTAACGGCCAAAATGACCGCTTGTGGCAGTTCTAGTAGTTATGGAATTCTGGGACTTCTAGTGTTAAAAGAACCTCTTTTCTTAGTGTAAATAACACTTTAAAAATCTAAAGAACCTTTCTACGATAAAGAACATTTTGTGGAAGAGAATGGTTATTTATGGAACTGTAGATGCCAATAAAGTAGTGTGTATTAAAATGAATCTCAGATGCATCTCATGTGACCACTTGTCTCAGATTTTGTGACTGTATACAGTACTCAAAATGAGTGTTAAAGTCGGCATGAAATGAAAGTTCACTATTTTGCAGGGTGCGAACTACGGGGGAGCTCAGGTCCCCTTAATAAGACATGGGCTCCCCTGAAAACGTGATTCGTGAAATTTTGGGGGTCTCAAAAAATATTGACAATGTTTTATTTTGACGTGCAATATCAGTTTTGTGTAATGTGATCGTGGATTATTATGTGTAAAATAGCAAAAATATCATTCATTCATGCATGCATGATGGCAATTTAAACCTAATTCACTTCAATAAAGATAACGAAGTAATTTTTCTGCAGTCGATGGAGCTCAAATACAGATATGCCGCCAAGCACAAAGCAAACATGCAATTCTTGTCATGAGCATCAAGGTGTGGTGGCGCTGCGGTGCAAATGCCAATCATATTTAGTACATGTTAATTCAAAGATTCGTAGAAAAAATATAAACGTTGGAGGCCATTGATCTGTGCGCGAAGTCTTTGAAATCCATTCTGTGTTAAGGTAAGGCATGTTATTCCCAATTATGTGTTGTGGCTGGGTTGTTATAGGTCTGCGTGACTCTCGATGTGTTAGGCCTAATTGAACGGAGGAATTATGGTATTCTTCTGTAGCCTGACGAGTAATTTAACCCTTGTTCAAGTGAACTCAAAGACAGCCTATTTATAGACTATTTGTTGGTGGCTGTTAGCTGTTTGACTTATCAATTTGTGTCGATAAAGTATAATAGGGTAAATCCTGTATATGGTGCTTGCATAGTGCATACACTTGTAGCTGTTATGCATCTTTGGAAGTCCTTGTAAGTCCTCGTAAGGCACGTACAAGTGCACACACTGCTGATAAAGCAATTTCTTGCAAATACATTTACAAATAATATCATCACTCCGGAGAGGGAGAGGGGGGAGAGGATTTTTCAGGAGTGATGATATTACTGCACCGAGTCCATAGATATATATGCGCCGAGTCCAAGTGCTCCCAAGCATTTGCTATGGTATTCCGCCATACATTATAGTCATCCACTTTACACGCTTAGAAAAGCGCAACATTTTATTTTTGTGTCACCGTTCTTGGTCGAGTTACACTACTCGTGTAACTGTATATAAATAGGGAAAACGTGGAGGTGTTTGGTCGCTTCTCTGCTTGGATCCTAATGAATGAACTGGGCTAAGCTAAGTGCTAACAAAGTTTCGCCGCAAGACAGAGCGATTTAGTGCACGCACTGAGACGAGAGAGGTATGCATCAACTCGTCTTAGTTAAGGGAATAACAGTTTAATATGAAAAAACGGTGGAGTATCCCTTTAACATTAAGTGACATGGCATCTGACACACAGAAGCCAATGACACGTCGCTAGACCTAGTGACACATCCGGTCTTCATTGGCATGTGCCAGTGGATAGTGGCATGTGCCACTGACAATGTCGTGAAACACTGAGTCGCGGAACATGTGGCCGTATGTTGTGACACCTCCAGTAATGACTGACAGATGAGTTGAGCAGCTATACTGACATAACTGTGACACAAATTCATAAATAGCCTAATTTAATGATATTCTAAAATAAATGTCAATAAAACGCATTAAAGTCTGTAGTATTTTTTCAAACATGTTGTCAGTTTGTGTCACGTCTGTGTTTGAGTGGCATGTGTCGCTGAATGATTTGTAATACCAGTGCTGTTGTTGTTTATCACGCAATGTCACAAACTGCTCATTCTAGGAAGGAAGTGAAATAAATCTATCATGAGTCACTACGAATAACGCATTAACAGTCGCATCCGTTACTGCAAAACTTTATTTTTGCATGATGCTGCACGCACGGCAGTAGGTGTCAGCCTCAGCCCTAGTAAACATTTATCAAAATAAAATGTTTTTCCAACTAAGTCTAATGGTGCAAAGCAAAAATATTTAGTTGCACGTAAGTTATAAGTAACTTGGTGCTCGTTTACGTCAAAACTAGGCTTAGTTGGAACATGCACACCTGGGCGTTTACCTTATGGCCATTAACTTTTCGATGTCCAGGTGGATCAGGATACATTAGCATTTAACAAATTCGAAGTGGTAACGTGTTTTTCACCAGCTCTTATTAGGTTTCAGCTAGGGGTGTCGCAATATACCGGTATTGACGATAATCGTGATATTCAAAGCGTCAAATATCGACATCGTGTTAATTTAGAGTGTGGCAATATACCGGTATTGGCGATAACCACGATGTTTAAAATGAATAGGACTTTTATGATAACATGACACGTATACTCCAGCGCCCGTTGAGGTGGCAGTATTGTACACACATGTATAGCAGTATAGTACAGACATGATCTTAATTTCATAATGTCCTTAAACATAACAATATTGCTGGCCATGAACTGAGAAAGTGCGCGTCCGGTGTGCTACACGCGACGCGGCGCTTCTCGTCCGGTGTGCGACCCCCTTAAGCCCAATCTGCAGAATGTGTAGCCACCAACCTTTTTACCCATCTCCGTGTCCATCACACTGCTGATTACGCTATTTTACAGAGAGTAAATTGCGATTATTTTACTAGTCATGGAATGGGAAATGTGACATTAACCTGTTAACAGTGGGTTTTTGTTTTCATATGTTTAAATAAAGGGTGATTATTAAGTACCCCGTTTTCTTTACTCGTCTTATTTTTGTATTTGCACTTGATTTGTTTTGTTCAAATCTGCATGACTTGCACCGGCGCAACAATAGGTTTAAGAGCTTTTCAGTTCTTCAGGAAACATTCAGACAGTGTTTCGCTCCAGTTTGAAACCAGATATACTTAACATGCTTGTCTTACTTCACAAAAAATGTGCATTCAAATATAAGAACGCAAGAAGTAAAAATGCTAAAAATTAAAATAAAATAAACAAAATAAAAATTAATTTGACTGATTTGACATTTTTTCCCCCAAGGTTTCTATAGATATCGCGATATATCGATATCGTGAATTATTTTGGCCACAATAACCGTGGTGTGAAAAATCTAACATCGTGACAGCCCTAGTTTCAGCAATTGGATCATGTTTTGGAACCCAAATCATTTAGCACCATTCGATCAAAAACCAGGCGTAAATGGGGCCTTGATACAAAATGTCACATCATTTTGGAAAAAGATTTTTAAAAAAAGAAGACTTTCCAGACCTGAGCCAAGTCTCTTCTTCTGGTTTTCAGGGTGTTGGTTCTGATGGTGACTGGCCTGTGAATTTCATTGGCCTCAAGAAAATCAATCAGCTGAAAAAGAAAATTTGTATTTGTACATCAATAAACACACACAAAATTTAACAAAGAATTTTGTTCTGATATAGATGTACTGTCAATTCATATAGAGGTGGAGGGGGTGTGGCCATCCAACCCTTCAGATCTTGACAGACATTTGCTTTATCCCGTTAGCATAGCCACACACCTTGTGAGGAAGCAGATGGGTGGTACTAAAAACAGGAAGCATCTATACTTCAGCAATAAAAGCTGTCATGCCAATTTACTCATCATTACAGACTAAAAAGCAAGAGCACATACAAACACACACCTCAGAGAGAGAGAACAGGTCCATGAGTTTGCTGATGAGGAAAAGGTTGTAGCTGTAATAGGTGCAGAGGTCAGAGCGCAGCAGAGAGAGATACTCTGATCTTTCCTTGCCTTCCTCTCTCTTCTCACTGAAGTGAGACAGCACATCCACATTATCTTTGATCCTCTGATGGATGGTCTGCAAGTCCATCAGTAAAAGACCTACACACACACGCGAGACGGAGGGCGGCGACTTAGAATACACCTCTAGATCAAACAAAATCTGGGAGGCTGTGGAAATCTGTAGTTTGATGACAAAAAAAAGTTGGACTTACCTTCCTTGGCTCTATCTGCTGCAGCAGGGAGTTTGAATTGTTCCGTCTCGTCAATATTCGCCTGCACAGTATCCTCTTCCTCCTCATCTTCCTTTAAACCTTTCTTTCCCTCTTCTTCATCATCATCATCATCATCATCATCATCATCATCATCATCATCACTCTCTGGTTTCATGCTTGTTTGTTTTTTCTGTTTTCTTGCAGCTTTCTCGATTGGCAGAAGCTGACACGGCAAAGGATGATGGGACACAATTAGGAATTGGCTATGCTTAGAATACAATGCTGACTTTTTTCAAATTAAAATATATATAGTATAGTACAGTAACAATGTACATTTTGATGAGAGATGTTAAAATTGCTGTTGATATCACTTCCAGTTATCTTGCATAGAAATGTAAAGTCAAACACACTCCATTGTGGGATAGTGTTTTGTGCTCCCAAACTTCACATTTATCAAAAGTAGCAAGACATCCGGATTAATGGAGATATTTGACATACTGCACAAAAGGTCAAGATTTTCTCTATACAAATGTTTCTTTCATACCTCCTCTCCATCACTGTCTTGTTCATCCCCTTCATCAGCACCATAGTCATCCACCATTTCTTCATCATCATCATCATCATCATCTTTCACCATTCCCTTGTGATCTAAGCCCTTTACAACATCATCATCATCATCTTCTTCTTCCCATTGGCTGTCGCTGTCCTCATCTTCCTCGCATTGTTCAATCTTTCGTTTCCTCTGTGCTGGTTTGAGCCATTCACTATTCTCATCTGAGAATCCTGCAATAAATATGAATTGATTTGCAAATTCAACGGTTTATAGACAGTTATTCCATTTTTGTTTAGTTTTTTAAACCTTTATATACCTTTTTTGGGCTTTTCCTCTTGTTTGGGTTTTTTGGTCACTTGAGTTCTCTTTACAGCTCTGTCGAAATTAAAATAATAATAAATTACAAGATATCATCAGAAAGCTAAGAAAAAAACCTCCTAATCAAATGAATTTTACCGTTTTCTTCCTCTGCTTGAAAGTTTTTTAGGCCCCTCGTCTGTGAACAGAAGATAACCATTGTTATAACTTATTTAAAACATTGTTATAATGGTTAGAATATATGCATATATATATAGTCATTATATATCTCAATCATGAATGAATGAATGGAATTATAACTCAAAGTATGTGTGATTTACCATCAACCAAAAACTTGGACAGCTCAGTTTCGGCTCCCTTCTGTTTCCTGGATTTACGTCCAGGTCCTCTTTTCGCCCTAATGGTGGGATCCAACTTCCTGCCCATGATTGACACCTACAAAGTTGTTCTGGGGTAACAAAACAAGTAATCAATAAAACATATTTGACCAGAAGTAAAAATATGATTATTATATGGTTAGAAACACAAAAACCAGTACAGCATGTGGGTTGCCATGTCCCATGTGGCTTTCATTCTGTATAATATCACTCTCATGTAAACATAGCCATCTACACAATTCAAAGCTTTCATTGTATTAAAATAGATGTAACGTTATGGCTTGTAATCGGGACAATACAACTTTTACTAGCAAAATCGGCTGTTTGATTGACAGATTGAAGCGTGATGGTGTTTCCACAATTTAACAATGGTAAGTTAATGCTACTATTAATTAGGTCAATAAAATGCAGGCCAATTATGTTTATTATTGTAGTAAATTCAATATCATGTTTAGATAGAAAACATTTTGCGCACAATTTACTAGCACGTTGCAAACTACGAGACTAGCTTACTGTGAACCGATTAAGATACAAAAGTAATAACTGTAAACCCAACAGATACTTACTGTTTAACGAAAACAAGTTCTTGCGATTATCCCGATCTCTAGAACACTCCAAGAAATTGTAGATTTAATTTACGAAAGTTGCCATGTGCCTCTCATGCTGCCGTGAACTAGCGCACATGTGACTTCATCAGCACACGTTGGACTTCCGGAAGTTGTTAGCGATGCACGATTCGTGCACGATTCATTCTTTAGAGTCGGATCTTTTCTAAATCGGTGGATTTTTTTTCCCTCCTCGTTTTTTCCCCCAGGTAAACCGAGGTTTAAATTAATTTACTTCAATAGCCGAATATCACAAACACACACATATTAAACCCTGTTTTAAATTGTATTTAAATATACAAGAACGTTTCTTGACAAAATAATTTAAGTACTGACGTAAAATGAAAATTATATTTAGGTTCTAAGTGTTCAAGCTGAATTATGGCTGCAACAAAATGAACTGGGACACATGAAACTGCAATAAAGACCTTTATTTAAAAACTTTTAAAAATAAGATGTCGGCAGCGAGTGTACGTTGCGTAAACATTATCGTCTTTGAACCGGTTCTTAAAACCGAACTGTTCGAAAGAACCGATTCGCTTAAATGAATCGCACACATTACTACTTCCGTCGCGCACATTCTGCGAAAGAAATTCGCTACTTGAAGTTGTCGGAGAGAGCTTCAACTCAAGGGTTGAGTGAGTGAACACAACTGCCATGGAGGACGAATGGGAGGAGGAGGAGCAGCTGGTTGTGGCAGAACTGTCTGGAATGATCGGCTCTGATTTACTGTCCAGTCGGCAGAGCACCTGTAAGATAGTGGACATCGACAGCGAGCAGCCCATGATGCAGGTGGGCCGGTATCTGTTCGCTGGAGAATACGAGGACGCCATCGGAACATGTGTGTTATTTGAAGAGGATGGTGCAGACTCTAAACCAGCCCTTAAATACAAATGTCACACAATGAAGAAGCTGATGCTGCAGCGGACGTTTCTCTCCGAGAGGAAGGAGGACGAGCCCGTCTCTAACCGCATAGAGGTTCTGGCTCTCCACGATGAGGAGTCGTTCGGACGCAAGAGCGCAGTTTGTCACTACCTGGATCCGATAGACACAGAGAAATCGGCGCTTGACGAATCTAAAGATTGCGATGACCCAGAGATGAGCGAGGAATCAGCGGATGAACTGGAGGAGACTCTTCTGGAGAACTCCACTGAGGGGCCGATGAACGCCTGCAGCTCTTCTGTACTGGCGGCTGTAGAAGAAAAGGACGATGCCTCTTGAAAGACTGCTCGACTTCTGACAATGTACATTCTGCGTCATGTACATATATGCTTTCTGGTTAATAAAAGTTTTGTATTTTGTAGTCTGGTATGGATGTCTGTCCTATGGCGTCCTAAATAAGTTGCATAAATAATTATATCTATCTATCATTTTATCCTTCTAACTATCTATTGTTCCATCTTTAAATCTATCGATCGATCATTATATCTTTCTATCGATTGTTCTATCATTCTGTCTATCGATCGTTCTCTATTGTTCCATCTATCGTTTGTTCTATCGATCATTTTATTTTTCTATCTATCAATCGATCAATCTTTCTACCGATCGATCGTTCAATCTTTCTATATCCTTCTATCTATCGATCGTTCTATCTTAGTTCAATCAATCTTTCCATCTATCGATCGTTCTACTTTCTATCTATGAATTGTCCTATCTTTCTATCAATTGTTTTATCTTTCCATCTATCGATCATTCAATCAATGTTTCTATCAATCAATTGTTCTCTTTCATCTATCAATCTTTCTATCTATCAATTGTTCTATCTTTCGTTATATAAATCGCTCCATCTATCGATCGTTCAATCTTTCTATTGATCTGTCTGTTTATCGATCATTCAATCTATCGATCATTCTATATTGTTCAATCTTTCTATCTATCAATTGTTCTAACTATCTGAATTCAATGAATTTGAATTATTCAGGTTAACGGAGAGAACTGACTCGAATGAACGCTTCTCACAAATCACCATCTAGACAATGACTAGTTCAGAATGAAAAATTTAATAACTGGGGGGAGTACATAAGCATTTCCATGACTTTTATATTATATCAGATTGTTTAAGGGTATTCGTTTCCAAGTTATTTTCCTGTGTGAACATATTAACATTTAGCCTCTTGAAAATAGAAATAATGGTGTTGTAACTGTTGCATGAGAAAAAAAAAGTCAAATAATAGAAAAACTACAAAAGCAATTTGCCAAAAACCTATAGATGGCCAACATACAAGATCTGAGGCAGAAACTCAAATGAATAAAATCATGACCTGTTAGGAAATGTGCCAACTGTGGAAAGAAATAAAGAACAAAACAAGTAGGGAGAACCAAAAAAAAAAAACATTTAAGTAACATCTAAACTAGCACAGTTGAAGATAAAGGAAGCTAAAGAGTCCAGAGAGACTAAACTCAGGAGGAGAGTGTTTTTGAAGCTGTCTAGTGGGAATGAAGAACATAAGAATAAAGCTGAAGTGCCTGATGTGTAAAAGAGAATGTGAAACATCTATTTTATTGCAAGGAGAAAAAAAGGAAAAGTGTTGTTTTACATATCAGGAACAGATTTAAATGCAAATCTGGGTTTATTATTAAATATGTAAACCTATACAAAAAGGTTTAGGTTTAATACCCCAGAGTACTGTTTGCTTCAGCGTGTTAAAATTGTGTTACAATACATGAAATAATCTCCTCTGTGGTGACGTCACATATGAAACACATACACACAGAATGCGGTCCAAAGGTCTGTTCCCTAATCAGGCAGAAACATGACAGTTCATATCAGTTTGGTTTTGTCATAAGACTCCCCAGACCTCTTCAAACGCTGAACACATCTTGGCACAGGTCAGAGCTGCAGATAGAGGATAGTTACTGATGGACAAGGTCTTCTCGGTGTAGTCGACGTTCACCTACATCAGGATTGAGAAACAGAATTTAGTATGCTGATTTACTTGAAAAAAGTGATGAAAATTCATGTTTATGAAATCATTTTCTAAGCATGGAGAGTATATTTTAGACTCACTGCTCCATGCGCAAATGCTCCAATGACAATAGCGGCAGGTCCATCTTTAGGGACGATTGTTCTGGGACATACAGCATCTCCTGCTTTGAACGATGTGGAAAATCGGGGGCATCCAGGTGGCAGGTGGTCCGACACTGGATTTTTAATGAGCCTCAACAAACGCTGAGAGCCATCCGCTGCTCTCACACTCAACTTGTGCAGGAGCTGGACTATAGGAGGACACATTGTAGGAAACTAAATTTACATACAACTTTACAGGGTTTTTTTTGCATTACAAGGTAACACTTTATTTTAAGGTGTTGTTACAAGTCAGTCACATGTACTTACTATAGTAATGATAGTAAATAATGTACACTCCTAGGCAAAAAAATGGGCCAAGTCCAAAATGGCTAAACTAAGCAATTAATTGTCTGAACCACAAATTATTGGTTCATTACCCAAACTTTTAGCAAATGCACTTCTTAAAAAGCCCCTGCTGTCTCAGCAAAACATCAAAGATGGAATTTAGTTTTGGCAGAATATGGGAAGTTGTGTGTGCCTGTGTGGTGTAAATAAAAAAAAATCTGCTGAGAAATATAGGAGAATATTGCAGAATGTCTTGCTTCCCACAATTAAAAAGTTGTTATCTAAAGAGGAATGATCAGATATTTTTCAACAAGACAATGCTCCTGCCAAATTTCAAAGACCACCAAGAAGTGGCTTGAGAACAAGTCCATCAGGCTCATGTTTTGGCTTGTCAGAGTCCAGATTTGAACCCTAAAGAGAATACTTGGTCTCGCATCAAACAAACTAACTAGGAGACATTTTTCAACAACTCACTAACTGTTTGAAGCCATCAACATCGAGTGAAACATGTAAAAAGCTGTCTGCAAGTTGGAGAAAGCTATTCTGCACTAAGTTTCATTATCTACAGTACTTGTGCAATTCTTGCTCATTTCCTGACTAGTGATTTGTGATTAAAATGTTTAAGACCATTAAAAGACCACTAAATATTTTGCCATTTTTGGCTTGGTCCATTTTTCTTTTGCCCAGGGGTGTATAATACCAACCATCACAGTGAAGGGGACAAGTTCCTAACAATAATTGGAAAAGTACATTGGCTACAGTATTTATTCAGCTTTGTTAATGTTATTTAATAAAAAATATATAGCCCTTCATTGTTTGTTCATGTTAGTTAACAGTGCATTAACTAATGTTAAGAAAATACAACTTTTGATTTTAATAATATATGAGTAAATACTGAAATTAACTCAGATTAATAAATGCTGTAGAAGTGCAGGTCATTATTAGTTAAATCACATTTTGCCGTTTTGAATTTGAAAATATGCTATCATTTACATGATGCACGCAATTCATAACTGATTCTAATGAGACAGGAAACATTTTGCGTATTCAACATATTAATAAGAGTGAATGTATGCGTATTTAAGTACTATTTGCAAATAATGTAAATTGATCAGCTCACAACTACAATTAGAACTAGAACTTTTACCTAGAATTTTTTTATTCTCTTAAATTGTTTATTTAAATAAAGGCTCCCCCTCCCGCCAAATGTTGGTTACAAGTAACTAACCCTAAACTTAACCATATAGTAAATACATGCAGATAATTAATATTACTCAGTTCTTATTTGAGTAATTACACTAACTACATCGCCTTAAAATAGTGTAACCCGTTACAATACTGACATTACAGTCAATGTGCAAATGGAGTCTCCATGTTAATTTACCCATCAGTCCACAAAATCGTGCAAAGGTGCGAGGAATTCTTGTCTGTGGGTTGATCTCAATCAAAACATTCTTCTCTGTGTGAATGTACACTTGCAGCAGTCCAGCTCTATTCAAAGGACTGTCCAGTAACATCAGCAGGCACTGTGGGAAAGCAGACGTGACATTCAGAGGACAGATGTGGTACAAATAAAAATCTCAGTGTCAAAATCATCAGAAGATGGCTTGTTTTCTTCTTTTAACCTTCATAATGCATTCAAACCCTGCATACCATTTGGACACCGTGGAATGTACGTTTTTTAAAACAGTCATACCTTTGCATTTTTCAACTAAAACCATATTGTATCTGATTGATAACTTCTCACTAATGATGAGTAAATGTGCAAACATGTCAATTTTGACTGATAGAGTGATATTACCATATTATTATTACATGTATGCCCTTTTTGAAAATCTTTAAAATTTTAACTGTTACATTAACAACAGAAAAAACACCAATGCAAGAAAAACAAAAACAGAAATTTCTCATACATATGAAATTGACAAGAATATAATCGAGTAATGAACAATATCAACTTGTCATGCTGCAATGTTTACCAACACAATTCATTCCCAAAAGTGTGTGAGAGATATAGAAAATGGGATAAAAATATTTTTGAGACAAAATCGAACTTGTGTGTATATATATATATATATATATATATACAAATGATGTCAGTTATATAGTCTGCTGCATAACTGACATCATTTGTAAAGCCTCGGTTGATGCCCTGGTCCAAATCGACAACAACGCAAAAGGTGTAACTTTATTAAAATAGTAGGATATCTTAAATAACTTTAAAAACTATGCTTTACTAAAACTATAGAATTTGTATGCATCTCCAAAAAAATCGAGAAAAAACGACACCCGGTGTATTATGGGGATTAATATGGGCATGGTAATATTGAAATGGTTTAGATGACGAAAACTAACAATTCATTTCAAACACTGGAGAGCTTTACCTGATGTGTGATATCAGGGCGAATCTTCCCAGGGTCTCTTCCACTCTTCATAATCATACTCTTATGCTGATCACAGTTCAGCAACTCAAATGTCTTTCCAACCTAAACAGAAACACGTTCACATTCAAGTGCTGAAACATACGGTTATGAGAAATATTATTATTCATGTCAAGTGAACAAGACCAGGTCCAACACTAAGTTTATTATCTACCGAGCCTCCTTGTCTTTTACCTTTACGGTTTCAAGTGTCGCTCCTTCTAAAACAACAACAAGACGCTTTTCCGTCATTTGATCGTGCAGACTTCTTAGGTGTTTTGCCGGTTTTGGTTCATATTCATCTAAATGCTTCAGACCACGCTTGTCTCCAGCGCGTGCAGCCATGTTGACACAGAACTACTACGACACATCAAATGTACGTCACAACAACGAGTTTGTTCAGAGTGGCGCACGCTGATGACGGCCTCTCTACATAATTAAAAATGTCGCTGTAAAATACTACACTTGACCACCTATTAAATGGCATTATGTTATTATGAAACCAATAATACATTTATAAACACAATTTTAAACAACACTTTAAAAAAAAAAAAAAAGTCGCTTTTTGCTAGTGTCATAATCAAAACAAACCCTTCGCTTTCATGATACACACCCGAAAAGAACACATTCCAAAACACAATTCTACGTTTCTTCCAAATATAATAAGTTTCACATATAAGAGTGACATTTATGATACATTCCGACTTCAGACCTCAAACTGTATTTACACTAGAGAGAGTACTACAGGTACATTCATCACAAATGGAAATGCGCTCCTTCCTTGCTAAAACTTAACATAGTTCTTGTAGTAACCAGTTTAACTGTTTACAGTAAGACCATAGTTACCACATATTAAACCAGTGTAACTTTATAAACAAACTAGGAAATACTGCCATATGTGTTGTAAAAATGCATGAGATTTCCTTCCTCCCATAATATATTATTTTGCATGAATTCCCCTCAAATTCTGTAAAAGCACGGTACATTTTCAAAGTGTTATGAGAGATCATATCCACCAAGCAGCTTTTAACTGTTCATCATACTGTACATCACTTATCAAATGTAATAATATTGCCTAGATGTACTATATGTGACATTTTTAAACCCATCCAGTGAATATAAAAAGTGATCTCTGGAATGACTTTCTCCTATTTTCACTAAACATTGAGCAGCTCCAATGGTTCAATAGTCCCAAACCAGCTCCAACAGGTCCTCCCAGATTCAGTGCAGCGTTCGACTCTGGCATATCTCATGAGGAGAACTCTGAGATTTATTCAGGCAGGTCAGCAGTTTGGGGCAGAGCCCTGAGTCCGAACACAGGACTGTCACCAGAAATGAAGGTTCAAAGGGCATGAACTCACGGTAGGGGTCAGCGTCACACGTTACCTGTAACATTTGATTTGAATGTTTGATTAGCACACATGCTTGAGTGTCTAATTCTCTTAGAGATGTTCTCTGTACCTTAGTAAAGGATGAGAGGAACAGGGGTATGTCAGAGAGGCCTGATAGAGATGAGTCCGTTGGATGTCTTGTGAAACTCATCTCATAAGCCTGTAAGGAACAAATATGGAATGTAAAAGGTTGACAAAGACAAATGTTTGGTTACCAGAGCAGAGATTTTCAAATAGGGGGCCTTATGGAAGTGCTAGGGGGTCTGTTGAAAAGTTTAAAGAAAAACAGTGGGAAAAAATGTAAAATAAAATAAAAAGATTTAAATAAATTAATAAATAAATAATACATCTAAGACTACAGTACTATAATTAGTAGAAAAACAACATAGTACTTAATACCCAGCTAATAAAATTAGGCTATATTCTTATAATTTTTACTAACATTTTTATTAAATTATGAAACCATTATTTCTGAATATTTTACAAACATCCAAAATTTCCAGGATTTTTAGTTTTAAAACCTTTTTTGTTTTTGTTTTTGTTATGCAAACATTAAGGGAATATTCCATTTTTCATGTCCCAAAGTTCCCTGTTAGCTGGGCAGAAACAAAAACATTCATAATAATATTTTTTTGCAAATAATTTTTGCACAGTATAGATTGAGTCTTTGAAACTATTTAAGATGCCTGTTAAATCTTAGTATGGGGTGATCATATGGGGGTCTGTGGCATCTAAACGATTGAAAACCCCTAGACTACAGTGAGTTAACTTACATCCAGTGCCACCTGTAGAGCAGAGTACTGCACCCAAACCTCCTGCTGTTTGGAGGGGGGAAGGGAGAATTTGCCAGCCTGTCCCGGATCTTTGGTCACATTCAGATAATGAGACAACACGCACATACTCTCTGACTCTGGATTGTTGGCCTGTGTGTGGACTGGTGATGAGAAACATAGAAGGGAATTAAAAAAAACTCAAAAACACATCACATATGCATATTCATATTGAAATCCATACCGACTTACTATCAGGAAGCAGAAGGTGGAGAAGATCTTTAGCCATCAGAGATCCCAGTGTCCCATAATTCAGTGCCCTAGAGAATATTGTAATTTATACCATGGTCTTTCTGAATACTTGATTCTGATTGGCTGAAAGGTGTACAATAATACTGTTTAATGCACAGGTAGTTCCAAGTCAGTTAAATCACTGGTCTATGTCAACGCTTTGCTTGCAGTAAAGCGCGCACACACACATACATCTCGGAAACAGGAGCACAGAAACTTGTTTTCAATGTTGCTGTTTTTGAAGTAATTAAACTCACAGTTGCAGGTAATTCACACGCATCTCTCTCTCTCTCTATCTATCTCGCTAGGTTAATTAATTCAAATAAATGTCATAATTCAATTTTCAAAAAGTTATTTGCCTCCAAGTCGTAGCTAGCTGAGGATTATTCCTTATGTAAACATTTTATGCATCATACATCTTCATCATAAAAACTAGAATGGAGTGGAGAATGAGGAATAATCAGAGTAACATTACACAATAACATATTAACATTTTACTAACAGCAGTGCAAAGTATATTAGTATATACCCAAGTTAAAAATTTTACAGTTGAATGAATATTCTGTTTTTATGTTGTAATAAGATACCTGGGATATGAGGGATGGAAGAAAGGCAAAACAAACATTCCAACAGGGATGATGATGTCATTACCAGAGATGGATGGAGTGATAGACAAACTAGAGGAGAGGAAAGACAGGAATGTAAAATGGATGATGATGGCATGAATTGAATATTCACCCTATCTATTTTCAAAATGCAAGCAATTAATCAATGCATGCGTTTCACTTTTCAAACAAAAACTCTTTAATTAAAATGTCACTGCCAGTGAAATGATAGACTTTTCCAATCATTTAGTCCGCTTAAACCCTCAATCAACCTCAATCTCTCATTCCAAGCTTCCTCCATCCCTCCAACAACCGATGGAAAGATTTAAGTTTTTAATATCAGACTTTAATGTCAGAATAGGGATAACCCAAGTAAAAAAGGATATGAAAACTAAAATTTGACATTCAGGTCAAATTATTTGAGCCTTTTGAAGGTAACCCCCATTTGCATAATCCATAGATATAAAATTGTATATGCTGCAAATAACTCAGGTCACATGAGCCTTATAATGTTTAATTTTAAAAATGTTTTAATGTTTATTTTGGGGGAAGGGGAAAAATAAAGTATATTAGTTAAGAAATAAAAGTAAAACCTTTATATGAATATATAAACAATAAAATCTTATAAAAACATATTTTTTATATTTTATATAAAAACAATAAATAAATAAAAAAGTATAATATATTTACTGTTATAAACAACGCATATAGTACTGTGTATTTAAACTGTGATTTTAAGAAGATTACAGTGAAATAATATACAAATCCAAATTGTGACAAAACATTACCTTAAATTTTATTGCTAATATGCGAGCACTCACCCTTCAGCCGGTGTGCCGTGTGAGAGCAGTCTGCACCTGCTCTTCCGCTCCAGTGCCAGCATCTGCAGATAGTTGGAGAAAAAATCCTCCTCTTTCAAAACCACCTAGTGCAAAGAGGAGGAGAAACACAGCGAATGAAGAATGTTTCATTCACTCATCCGACTACACTGCTTTTTCATTTATCCATCTTCAAATGAAGCTACCTCTGCATAGAGATGGTTGAGTTCTGTATGATTGAGGTTATTTGTTTTAGTGGAGAGTCTTGGATTAAGAGATTTTATCTGAAAAACACACAAGATTATCAGAACGAAATCCATCCGCAGTTTAATTTTGTATATGATTCGCAACATACCTTATTCAAAATAAAGTCTGATGATTTGTTGTCCCTCCAGCTCAGATCTGTTAGTTTCTTCTTGAGGGATGAATAAACATCATGGATCAACTCTTCAGCCTGGCAGAGAGAGAAAAACACTTGTCATTGCTCTATTAAATACATGTTCATGCATAATCAATCCTTTATTTGTTCATGAGGTCCAACCAAAATGTACCTCTTTCTGTGCATGTCGTTCTCTAATTGCATGACTGAGTAAGGCGTCAAATCCTCGCTCTGTCTGCTGAACACATCGCCACCAGCGTGGCATCTCCTAAAATCACAGACAGTATAAGCGAATGAAATATATAATGCAGTCTGAACTGCTTCACTTCACACAAATAGGCTTTGTGGGGAATGAATCCAATGCCGACCCACCTCATGAGTGTCTCCAGTCGCAATGGAATAGTTTCTCATGGTTTGGAAGAACCTCGAGTCCAGCGCAGGTATGAGTGTTTGCAAAAGACTAAAGATCATGTATGTGTGAAGAGGGATGCTGCAGATTTATACATAGGCACAAATGGAGACACAAAACATTTGTATCATTTATCAAAATCTATACTATAACATTTTAAGAAAACATGCCAAAAAGTGACTTACGCGCCCATTATCTCTTGCTTGACTCGCCATTGGCTGATTGTCTGGGACATGTGGATAATGTACGGGAGATTGTGGACTAAAACAATATCTGATTGGCTGATAGGAAGGGGCTGAAATATGGCTTGTAGGCAAGCAAGCCAATCAATGGCTGGAGCCACAGTCTGTGAGGGACAGGAAAAACAGCTTTAGTCAATTAATATATATTATTTGATCTATTAATATACTCAAAAATCCAATTTATTCACACAGTAACTTGAATACACATCTTCTTTGATGAGCATGTTTTTAATATCAGAATTCACATATTTTGATATTTTCGGGGGGAAAAAACATTTTGGGGGAAAATGTCAGGTTGATCCAACTAAACTGTCCTGATATTATAATGAAGAAGAAGAAAAAAATAAGAAAAAAAAATGAAATTCTTGAAAGGAAAAGTTGTTTGGCATAAACATTATTATTATTTCTTAGAAATAAAATAGAAAAATGAAATAAAAATAATTAAATAAAAATAAATAATTACATACAAATAAGACTTACATGTGTTCACGTTGTAAAGAAATTACATTTTACTATTTATAAGATATCACATGACATCATGAGTAATTAAATTTAAGCTTTTCTTGAACCATTAATAAAGTTTTTCCAAAACCATATGAAACTAATGTGGCACGTGTTATAGCCTGTTAACTGTCAGTGTAGTGTGCTATTTATAGCTTTTTCCCTTTATGACATTTTATAGTAATAATTATTAATTAGGTATTTTTCCAAAGCTTAAAGACTCAAAATTAAGTTTTGAAATTGGACATTGCATTATCGTGGAAACGGTTCTTTAAATCTTTTAGCAATCTCAAGTTTTGGAATATCAACTTCAAATTTGGATCACAACTTGGTTAGACATATGCCTTTGATTTTCTAGCAATTTTAGACTCCAAATTATTTTGGAAAATGTTTAGTACATTTGCTTTACAGTAAACTTCTATAACTACACTTTAGTTTTTTGAAGTGCTTTTATGTTTTAGCAATAATCAGCTTTAAAAATAGATCAACCTTAAGTCTTTAAGTTCAGATCTATGCTAAAAAAAGGGGGGTGACAGTTAACAAGTTAAGCTAGGTTTTTTTCTTCTTTTTTTTTCGTGGACACTCTTATTTGTTATTGACCCATTTATATATCAGACAGGAAATCCAATTTAAGCACAAACACACAGACCTGTAGCGCTTGGATGGTAGTTCTGTGGTAGAGTAACTTCTGACTGAGGCGGTAGTGAAGAGGGGACGTGGCCACAGCGAGAGTTGTGGACAGAGATATGTAAAGACCACAGTGCTGAGTGGTTTTATTGGAGGGAACACCCAAGAGAGCCAAATACTGACCACAGGACAAATAGAATGGACGCAAATACTGAGAAAGAGGAGCAGAGACAGACAACAAAAGAGATGTTACCAAAATACCAAAGAAGCCTGTATAATAATGCTTTATGAGCATTAGCCACACTATTTATGTGTCAAATCTGGTGCTAAACTGAACATAAAATACCTACCCGGGTACTAGCTTTGGATTTATGTGTCTTGCTGTTCCAGTCAATAGGGAACTGAAAATGAGGCTCATCAATCTATGGAAATGTAATCAGACATTCTTAAACAACATAGAGGACGAAACAATCTCAAAAACTAAAGAAAATGGACCAAAATATTGAGGATATACACATGTACTGTGTAATACAAATTACTTCCCAAAAATACATAAAACTACATAAACACTCAAATCAAGTCATTGTCCCATAACACTAGCAAAGGTTGACACCCAACAAACTTGCTTAAAACTTAAAACACACAAAAAAAAAAAAAACTCTAACAAGGTAGCTTTATACAATGTTTTCTTTTGTAAAAAATGAATTACAAAACAAAATGTTTTGAATTCACTGCCATATATTTTACATGGTTTATTTTTACATTACAGTACAAAATTCCTAAATGAATTACTTAATTCCAATTCATAAATTGTCCTCTTTTGTATAGATGGTAATGAAATTGAAAGATTAACACCTGTGTAAGTGTTCAGCTACATCTAATTGTTGTGATAGCATTTCATTTTTTAGATTTGAAATATATCTCAATATGCCATTATTGTAGAAATTTGTCAAATTGCTTTCTAGTTCAGTTTGCTGTTATGTTAGGTTTTGAACTTAAGTTTAAAGGGGTCATGAATTGAGAAATACAAATTTCCTTTTGACATGTTGACATGTCATTTTACTATAAAAACATCCTGTAAGTTTCAGAATTTAAAACTTCCTTGTTAGTCCAAAAACAGCTTTTATTTATTTAATCCAAGCTCAGAAAACGACTCGTTTGGGATTTTGTCACATTATGACATAATAGTGCGACGAAAGAATGCCTCTGCAGAATCAGACCGACGCCTACTTCTACATCATCGTGTATTTGGCCCCGCCCACTGGCGTGTTAGTGAGATGACGAGGAGAAGCGATACATGATCACTGGACTAAAAATAACATTAGCCTACCTTCCAAAGGATCCTAACGCTAGGAAAGTGGTTATTTATTTTCAACTATGTGAATGTCTCAGTAGAGCATTATTTGTTTGTTTGGTACATTTTACTGTGGATTATTTGGTAAATCAGTCACAATTTCAGCGCAGGCTGAGCAGACTTTCACTGTAAGATATAGACCCGACAGTAGTGCCACACCATGCAAGTAACCGTGTTAATTCTGATGCCTAATCTGTGTGATCAGTGATTTCGTGAAACTCTCAAAATCGTTTATTGCTTTTAAGTGTCAGTGACTAAACGATCAACTTCACATGGTTTCTCTTAGTAGCATTTAAATCTGTTATTTAAACTGTGATTAAATTATATACAGAAAGCAATCAAAGAACCCTCCTTTTATAATCGCTGGAGCTGTCAATTAAACAGTGCGAGTTTATCCGTGATTGATTTCTGGACTCGTGCCAAAACTCCCATTATAATCAATGATGCCGTCTACACTGCACAATGAATCTCTTGTTTACATTGTGTTTGCACTGTTAATTATAAAGGGAGCATTTGGAAGAGTGCAGAAATCCAGTTGCAAAGACGAGATCACTCTATTCCTGCGCTCAATAGAGAGGTCTTTCATCGGCTACAATGCTCATCGCTGCAACCTTCCATGCAACGGGAGTAGATCTAAATAAAAGGCTATAATCAAGACTTTTCATGATTAGTTCATCTTGACAGCTGTAATTGTAAAAACGTAGTAAAAGTTTTTGAAAGAGTTCCACGTGTAATATTTCGGTAACACTTTAGTTTAGGGTCCAATTCTTACCATTAACTAGTCGCTTATTAGCATGCATACTACGATATTGGCTGTTTATTAGTACTTATAAAGCACATATTAATGCCTTATTCTGCATGACCATATTCTACATCCCTTAATCCTACACAATACCTAAACTTAACAACTACCTTACTAACTATTAATAAGCAGTAATTAGGAGTTTATTGAGGCAAAAGTCATAGTTAATTGTTAGTTAATAGTGAGAACTGGATCCTAAACTAATGTGCGACAAATATGTCATATGTAAAGAAGTTAGCCAATCACAGCAGTGGGCGTTTACACTGCAATCTCACAGCCGACACGCCCCTCCAAACAGAGCTTTCAAATCAAAGGGCTAAAATCAGGGTAGAAAATGACCATTTATTTCTAAATTATGACCATTTTTGATGTAAAAATTATACTAACATTATAAGTTCACCTCAAGAAACATTATAATAAAAAAAATGCAGTTCATGACCCCTTTAACAGTTTTGAAAAGAGTATGTTAGAGATGCACCGGACGTTTTTTGCTCTAAACACACGATCGGCAACCGGTTTTTCGTTTTATTTTGGCCAATCTATATTCTGGACTTGCACACAAGTCCAAAAGGTGATTTGTGTGGAAATATCACGAAGTCTGTAAACAGGACGTTAACAAAGGCCAGAGACGGAACACGCTGAAGACGGGCCCAAAGAGGAGAACAAAGGCATTTTCTTTCCTCTTACCCTATGCTCTTACCTCTGTGTAATGGCAGTTTATAAGCGCAGCACTGCTTTGTGTACAGCGGTAACCAAGGAAACGCTATATTGCTGCTGTTCTATAAGCGCCACCTACTGCCAGAGAGTGAATTAGCATTTTCATTCAGTCTGTCTGCTGTTTTTGTTTCGTGCAGGTGTCTTATGTAGCATAATTTCACAAATCGAGTCAGACCATTCTGTTTTTGCTTTAAATCTTGAAATTATACAAATCTAAATTAAATAAAAAACACCTGCTAATGCTACCTGTGTAGCATCTTTTTTTGGAATCTTGATTAAATTCAGTGGTTGCCTCTCATTTCAAATGGCTACAGATATTTTTATCTAAGGTCAGCTTGGCCTGTTATAGAGCACATTTACAACAAATAAATGGGAAGGCAACCGTTATCGGAATCGGCCAATTTGCTTGTGAAATAAATCGGAAGAAGAAAAAGCATGATCGGTGCATCCCTAGAGAATGTAAACGTACAAATTGCCCTGTAGGCATATATAATTTTGGTTTATATGTCATTTGAAAGACGTAGTCTAGTCAGTGAAATCATTTTGTTCCAAAGGAATGGAAAAAGATCCACAGTTTAGCCCAAATAGACTACTTAATTCTCTAAATAATGAAGAGTTTTGAAAAAGTGACCCAGGCATTGAGAAATGGGTCCAAGCTATTATAAAAAATATATATAATTAATTTGTATTAGTGATCACCTGTATGTAGTGTTGATTGGAAGTAATTTGCTCTTCACCAGAGTCTGGCCCTACATATACACTGAAGAAAGGAAATGTGGAGTACTGGCTCATCAGCAGGGTGAGGGTGGTGTTAAAATCTTTCTGATTCCATTCACCTGATACTGCCCAACCACCTAACTACACACACAGAGACAGAGAGAGAGAGAGAGAGAGAGAGAAGAGAGAGAGAGAAGAGAGAGAGAGAGAGAGAGAGAGAGAGAAGAGAGAGAGAGAGAGAGAGAGAGAGAGAGAGAGAGAGAGAGAGAGAGAGAGGAGAGAGAGAGAGAGAGAGAGAGAGAGAGAGAGAGAGAGAGAGAGAGAGAGAGAGAGAGAGAGAGAGAGAGAGAGAGAGAGAGAGAGAGAGAGAGAGAGAGAGAGAGAATAAAAAACAGAACACTGGAGCAAAATAAATGATGCAACATAAGTGTACTTTTTTCTTTTTTACTTTCTCTTATCCAAAAAAGGGTGTGTACCTGCTGGAGTAGTGTGAGGAAGGGTCCTGAACCCACTTTCTCTGGAGATTCTGCATCCATGCAGGTCTTGAAGAACTTCTTTGGTTTCTGTTCTGCAGCACTCATAGAAACACCCTCCTCAGGAGACTCTGATCACACAGAGACCATACAGATTGAAATGGCCAATGCCTTGCAATACATTATGTCATGTTAATCAAAATAAGTTCAAATATTCTTTTTGTTTTGGATCAGGGGTTATCTGGCCCTCGAGATCCACTTTCCTGCAGAGTTTAGCTCCAACCCAAAACAAACACACCTGAACCAGCTAATCAAGCTCTACAGGATTACTAGAAAAATACAGACATGTTAGTTTGATCAGGGTTGAGGATAAACGTTGGAGGACAGTGGCCCTCTAGGAACTAAATTTGACACATGTGGCATTATGCCTGGTACACACTGTACAATTTTGGGTCGTCCCAGAAGAAAGATTTTTGTGGTCGTGGCTCCGAAATGGTGGTCCTACGTCACACAGTAAGAGAGGTTCAAAGACAGTCGTTGTCACGGTCTTGCAACCAAAGATCGCCTGCGATAATTTTCTGATCATCTCACAGTGTGTTTATTGCTACGACCAACATCTGCTGACTAGCCAATAAAAATGCAGCATGAAATGGCGTATTGATCAACGCAACATGGTGCTAAAACTTAAAACTACTCACCTCAAGCTCCATTTACAAAATTGGCATGCCAAGTAGGCCTCTTTTCCTTAGACATGACCGCATCCATATTCTCCTCTTTCGCTTACTCTTCTTTTTTTTTCAGCGCACATAAAAACTACAATTGCCAAAGTGCGATTCATCTTACTCTATTTGTTTACCAATAGCGCATGCTGATGATGTTTTATTCTTCTGTACTAACTTGCGTCGTAGCCTACGATTCAATAGGTGTCATCATCGTACAGTCTACATACATGTGTCATCATCGTACAGTCTACATACATGTCATACCCAAGTTTATTAGATCCATGTCGTACAGTAATGATCTTATAGGATTGCCGAAATCCCCCTGTCTTTAGCAGGCATTGATGAATTGCTCTTAGGGGAATCTTGACTTTCACCATTGATATAGTTTACATCAGGAAATACTGACAAAGTTCACTGCTATATTAAGCATCTTTCTGACTTTCTGACGGCCTTGATTTGTTCATTTAGCATAAATATTTATGTTTAACTTTTGTGAGATGAACTGAGGAATTGGAGCAATTTACATGCTTTTGCAGGTAATCCATTGTGTGGTGCTGTTTTTACAATTTGTTAAAAAATTCACTTGCAAATGTTAAGGATGATTCAAGAAATGTACCAAAGCGACTGAAAAAAACAATAAGACAAACTTTGTATGTTGACAAAGTCTTGCCTTATATTTGACAAAAGTTAAGCCTTGGACAGAGGGAAAGAAAGAGAGAATGATATAACTAAAAATAGATAGAATACATAGAATAACAATGGGTGGATGGATGGATGGATGGATGGATGGATGGATGGATGGATGGATGGATGGATGGATGGATGGATGGATGGATGGATGGATGGATGGATAGATAGATAGATAGATAGATAGATAGATAGATAGATAGATAGATAGATAGATAGATAGATAGATAGATAGATAGATAGATAGATAGATAGATAGATAGATAGATAGATAGGTTAACATATAGTGCAAGTGAATTAAATATAGACAAAATTATGAATGAAAGACTGACAGAATGATAGATAGATAGATAGATAGATAGATAGATAGATAGATAGATAGATAGATAGATAGATAGATAGAGGGAGATAGATAGATAGATAGATAGATAGATAGATAGATAGATAGATAGATAGATAGATAGATAGATAGATAGATAGATAGATAGATAGATAGGTTAACATATAGTGCAAGTGAATTAAATATAGACAAAATTATGAATGAAAGACTGACAGAATGATAGATAGATAGATAGATAGATAGATAGATAGATAGATAGATAGATAGATAGATAGATAGATAGATAGATAGATAGATAGATAGATAGATAGATAGATAGATAGATCCTGCTGAAAGAAAACCCCCACAAATGGTTTGCTGATTTACTTGGTTTGATCTGTACTTTAGTTTAATTTGGTTCCCCAGACTGATAATTTTTTTTTAAATTCAATCTATTTTTTAAAAATGCATCTTATTTATCTAGACTGATTCAGTCATCCATTCCATTCTTTTCTTTTTTTTAAATTGTGCTTCTAATTTTGAATCAAAATCACTCGATCTTCCTTTGAAATGACAGAGCCTCCATTCAATCAAACACCACTGTAGTATAGACCTAAGTCTAGCTGGTCTCCCAGCTTGATCAGGTGATTAGTGCCCAAACCGCTTTGAAACTGACCAGTCTGATTGACTAGAAGACCAGTAAACCAGCTTAGGCTAAGGAAGTCAGACAGTTAGAAGCAGACATAATAACTGAAGACACTATGAAACCATTTCGTTGGTTCTGTTTTATGAACAAAAGACATAGTGGAATTTCACTCACCTAGTATTTCTTTAATGGCTTTCAGTAAAGCAGTCTGTCTGTCTGGAAATGTATTTAGCCGTCCATCACCTTGAACATCTGCCTCTCTTCTCATCCTCACTAGTCCTCCTGTCCTCACTTGTCTTTTTTTGTCCAGTTCTCCATTGTCTTCATTGGAGGACCCCTTGACTCTCTTTCTCTTCTTGTTGGTGGAAGATCCACCTGCTCCACAGGCAAATAGGAAGTAGTCACAGGGGTGAGAAAAAGGATCCATGGCAACAGAAAAATGCTCTGATGCTTTTAGACAGGCGGGAGAAAGGCAAGGAGGAGCAGCTGAAAGACAAGAGATAGAAATCACCACCACTGTTACCAATGATATTAAACTATACCAGAATAAGGCCTAGTTCCTAGTTTTGTACCTGATTTCAATTGTGATCCCTTTTGCAGGTGGGAATAGATGCCCAAACCTAATGTAGTTGCGAAGAGAGAGAAGGCAAAGAGAACAACTAAGCACCTGCGGTACTTGTTGCAGTCCACTGGATTTGAATCATCAGAACGAGGCTGTTCCTCTGGTGTCGTGACCATTTCCTGTGGGTAAATATTGAGATGAATGTGTTGTTAAAAAATGTCAAGTTAAAAGCACATTTGGGAAAAGTTGACTTTATGATGGATTGGAATTACATTAGCAGTCAATCATCCAACCAACCACAATGAGAGCAAGTCAAAGGTATGTTCACTAAAGAACAATGAAAATGAAAAAACTCTCTTCTTTCAGAAAAACACAATCAGAGTTATATTAACAAAGATCCTGAGTATTGACGAACGCGGAAGCGCAGAGGATAGAAAAACAAAACACCAGTCGGGAATTAGTCTAAAACAAGAATTTTTAAAGGAAAATGTTGAGTTTGTTGCCCAGCCCTATTTGTTTGAACCGCAAGAGGTGTCCACTTTCACCTAAGCTTAAGCTACGCCTGCATCCTACGCCATATGTCGGGTCAGAGGTCACTCTTCCACCAGAACTAGACTTCGCCTACGGCCATAACCGGAAGCCAGTGATTATAGTTTATAAAGTTTTAAATATGATTAATCTTTCTTACAAAAACACATCGCTTCCCAGATAGCACAGGTACGTCTGTAAGATGTCTGCTAAAGATCTGTTAATCTGAAGACTGGAAAGTGCTGTGTAAAAACATCTGATAAACATCATAGAAAAGGTAGTTTTACATACATTTTAAATCTTAAATATCTTAAAGACATCTTCTAAATGTCTATATGACATCTAACAGGAAACGTCAGAGACGTATTGCAGATGAGAAAATATTCTAAAAAATACATCTTGCAGATGTAATGAATACATCAAATGGACATCTCCAAGAGTAGCCTTGTGCCATCATCACTAAAGCTACTTTTATGATGGATGGATGCGCTTTGGGCTTCAAAATCTCAGGTACTCACTCCCATTTTATAAGCTTGGAAGAGCCAGGATTTTGAATAGCTCCGATTGTGTTTTGGCTGAAAGAAGAAAGTCATATGGGTTGAGGCTGAGTAAATTATGGGATAATTTTCATTTTTGGGTGAACTAACAATTTCAAACATTCGCGAAGAAAAACAGTTCATTATGTACAATCGGCCAAACAATAAGACAAACTCGACAACAATATTACAGCAATATAAAAACTATAAATGTCACTGAGGTATTTCTAGCCTACAACGTTATGGCGGCAGATGCGGACGTCACGTTAGCGAAAATTCGTCGAGATTTTGCAGGGTGGGAGTCAATTTTGTCCTATGTAAATAGTATATGAAGCCAGGGACGGACTGGGGCTAAAAAACAGCCCTGGACTTTCTCCCAAATAGGCCCATCATCCAGCCATTCGCCCCTAGCCACTAGGATGTCCTGATACTATGCCACAATACTGTAACCTATATCAGACAAGGTATTCACAGCAAGTAATATCTCAAAAACAATGATGACAATTGGGGTTTTGTTTATTAATGAAGCCTCAGTCTTCAAATAAAAACAAAAAAATGTACAATGCCATTACATCTGCATTGAAAATAAAATACAAATAATGAAATGTCACTGGCTACAGAAACCCTACTTATAAAACATATAGTTACTATATACCAGGGGTCTCCAACCTTTTTGTGTGCGAGGGCTAAAGGGATAAAATAATCTAGAAGGGCTATACTCAAAAATATTTACTATAACATGGTGGTGTTTTTTTTACCTTACCTTTACCTTTACTTTTAACTTTAACTTTTTTACTTTTCACCATCATATGCGAAATAATAAAATATCTTGATATTCTGGTTCAACAATTCCTGAAAAAATTGTAATATATATATATATTATTCTCTAAAAACCTATTGTAGCATAAACATTTAGTATAAATATTTAATGCAAAATAAATAAATAAACTGCCATAACTTCTAAACAAAAACATTACTGCATTACATTTAATAGCCTACACTTATAGGCCTACATGACTATTAATATAACAGCATTTTTAATATGAATACAGGCACATTTCTGCCAAAAAATTTGTTTTACTAAGTTACAGTTAATTCATAAGTTGTGGAGTGAAATGTCTTCTAACTGGTTTGTTCTTGGAACAATGTTTCACCTGTTTTTTTTTGCGTCAAGATGTTGAGAATATCAGCGCTGTTTAATCTGGCTTTTAACTAGCTTAAATCACAGCCATCTGTGGGTTTATAATAGAGATAGAGAATTCTGCGCTGAATTGAAATGCTTCTCAGTGGATCGCGCAACTCTGTGTAATAATGTTCGCGTGATCGAGATTAGTCCGCACAGCTGCTTCGGCCGCGATCGCAGTTTTTTTGGGCCGAGCTGATAATGCTCCGCGCTGGCATCCAACTTAAAGGTGCATTGCTGCCACCTACAGTACTGGAGTGTGAAACAGATTAGTGGGGGGAAAAACAGGTTATGACTGCGTGTGTGGCGGGTGGTGGGCCGGCCCGCCGGCCGTCCTGGAGTACCGGCCGTTCTGTGATACTCCAGATCACACAGATGGCCAGTCCGCCCCTGTATGAAGCTCATTGAAGTTACTTTCAAACAGCTTTGTGGTGGTAAACTTCGAATTCGCGCGACCTGCGCCTGCGAAACTTTTTCCGCGCGGGTCGCACGAATGGAAAGGACTGCATTTCACCCGTGAAATTTCGCAAAGAAACGGTAAATATGACCGCATATTAAATACATGAAAGAAGCGCCGATTTCCTGATTTACCTGGGTGTGCGAAATGCCATGAATAACGGTGCGAAATATTTCACAGATTGACCAATCAGAATCAAGTATTCCAGTGAGCCGTGTAATAGAACAGCAGCAACCCGAGAAGTAGCTTTCGCAAGGGCATCATGTGGATAGAGGACAGTGAACCAGGAGTCTTAACTACACCACACACAACACATCTATTATGTAGGCATATAGAGACCTTTCTGATATAAAGCAAAACTTCATAATTTAGGCAACAATCTACTGCACACTGTTGGTGCAATATGGGTGACTGGAGTTTGACTCTGGTTCATTGCATTCCCTGATCCCAGCCCACCTTCTTCTGTCATTTCCTGTGACTACCACTACTACCACTGTGATATTAACACTGACAAAAGCCCCAAAATGAAAAATTGTAAATATATTTAAAGCCTCACCTGATGAACAGCTGGGTTCTCGTCCATCTTGTTCTTCTTGTGTGGTCGTTTGATCAGGATTCTTCCTACATATTGGTCTTCCAGCAAAGCTTTCTATTTCGTCACACTGTTCCTCTTTCTATCTCTCCCTCCGTCAGCAACAAGTCATCCAACTACTATCTTCCCTCATCACACTCTCTGTTCACTCTTTCACTGACTGATAAACATGTATGACCTGGCTTTCCACAAGACCCCTCACTTTTACTCATACATAAATGGGGCATTTCTGGATGCATTTCCTGAACTTCGCCATTTCTTAAATGTATGAGGGCCAGAAGATGATTTTGCTCCAAATTCCATCAATTGGATTATATCACCCAAGTTAAACATGGGAAAACACAAACACCAATTGACAAAATAAAGAAAAAAAGCTGCATGTGCATTTTTAAAGCTTCATCGGTGCAGGAAGTGATATATTTAATATTCATAAATATTCACATTTTTACATACAGACGTCGACAGTCCTGACTATCAGTGGCGTTTGTGAAGCTGGTGCGGGCTGATAAGAATTGAGGGGGTGTGAGAGGAGCAAAACCACAAAAGAGCACGTCACACATTGCGTGGGAACGAACATGTTTGAAAGCCGTCACATGGCGAAAACGTAAACATACAGATCTTCAAAAATACACATCACTATAAGAAAATGAAACAAGAAACATTTTCTATTAAATCCAATGAAAGATAAAACAAAAAAGTACTCAGTTTGTTAATTTTATAGTTTTATTAATTCAGAATACAGTACAAATATGGAAGAAAAACAATGATAGCAAAAATAACACATTGGCATACTTTCAACCGTAAACATACACACATTCACATATTAAGAGAAGAAATTAAATGTTGAGTTTACAAAAAAAAAAGTAATGTTAAATGGTAAATACATGAAGGCTAAACCACAAGTGTTCAAATGGTCCATAACGCCTTACTGAATTCAGCAGTATTGTGATACCAGCATGAAAATGAGGCCGTGAAACATGATGTATAAAAACACTGTAATAACAATAACAACAATCATGCATAACAGTTATTTTATTTTATTTTATTGGAGCCATTGTTTTATTCGATTGCATCAAATACTAGAATTTCTTGGACATAATAGTCAAGGGACAAGGCCAAGAAGAGAAACACATAGATAGAGGTGCATAGATAAATAAAATGAGCTATGTAAAACGGATACAATTTTCAAAATGATATCAGCGCTACCTTAAAGCCAAAATGAGTGGTCTTAGACAATAGTTGTTATCATAAACACAACAAAACAAATGAACTAAAATGTCAAATGTTGGGATTCTGTGCATTAATCACAGGGAATGGTGACTGTTAAAAACTAAATATTTCTGAGAAAGATTTAAGAGTTCAATCTGCTCAGAATCATGTTAGTTTGTCTACAGTAACACTGTTACTTTTAACAAAAATTATAAAAATGGTCGCTAGTTTTGTAATGTTGAATCTTGCTGTATATAATGGTTATATATAACCAGAGCTTTTGTGTAGATAATACTATTTTATCCATAATCCAGACGTTTTTAAGAAAAAAAGCTTTAACTACAATGTCATAGATTTATTACAGTAGTCTATGTAAATATTACAAGAGGCTCAGTGATTGATGTGCTTTTCTTTGGAAATACTTAATCGTCAAACAGACCTACAATTGTTTAATCGCTGAATACCTCTGGCAATATATGGAATGGAAAATAATTGAACTGATACTGGCATGATAATCAATGCAAACTTACTCAACTGTTTTGTTCGACATGTTTTAGGATGTGCTTTTTAAAATATTTGTTCATTTACAGGTAAACAGTTAGATAAGTGAAGCATGCATGACAAATCGCGTCTTTCCCTGCCTTTGTTTTTTTGCTTATTGTACATTTGTTGTGACTACAATTTCACAAAGAGCCCTTCTCATCCACTACAACGTGTTTCGGAAAAGCCTTATTAAAAGTGCATGGATGATGGTGGATATACAAACTATACGTCTTGCCTCAGTAGTCAGCTGTGGTACGATTTACGGATGTTTTTTTTTTAAAGGCATGCTGGGAGTCGTACTGTGCAGTTCAAACGGCAGTGCAGTACATTACCTCTGCACAGAGTCAGCCACTACAGTACAAATTCAAGCCACAAAAAGGGTCCTAAAATCACTACTTAAACAATCTAGGGGTAGAAATTGTGTCATATATAACATTCAAAATGGAGGCACTAACATTGTGCTCGCACACATCAGGCCCTGGCAGAAAGACGCCAGGCCAAACAGGGCAAGCTATGGGCTGGGCTCTGAATAAGGCCATTCAGAAAAAGCAGTAGAGCTTCGTCGAGAAAAGGCTAAACTGACATTGAGCAAACATGAGAATGTGAAACGGAAGAGAGATTTATAACACTAAGCCAATTATGTGTCTTAAATTTGGTTTAGTTTCCACCAATCACTGTTTAGCCTGCTTGGCACGTTGGGTGTGGCATTTCATGCACAGAATTCTGCCATCCAATGGGTAGCAGCCGTCAGCGTCTGCCTCGATGGAAAGGGGACGGGCACAATCCTGCAATCAACGAGCAATGTCTCATTTTAAAACATGACTTCTAATTTGAGGCTAGAACAAATAGGTAAAGATAACTGAAGAAAGAGCGTTCGTACCTCACATCGGTAGCACTTCAGGTGAAAGTTCTTCTCTAACGCAACAACCCTGATGGTCTCTTCACTTCCCGGGTCGGGAATAATCGGCTCATTGCAGCTCACGCAGAGTGGAGAGAAACGGCTGAGAAACAGAAAAAAGAGGAGAGAGGGTAAGATAAAACATGTTGGTAACTTTTGACAATGTCAATTGTTAACATTAGTTAATGTATTAACTAACATGAACTAACAATGAGCGCACTGTAACATGTTACAGTATTTATTCATCTTTGTTAATTTTAGTTAATAAAAATACAGTACTTCATTGTTTATTCATGTTAGTTCACAGTGCATTAACAGCTTTTGATTTTAATAATGTATTCGTATATGTTGAAATTAACAGTAAAGGGTTAGCTCACCCAAATATGAAAATTCTGTCATCATTTACTCACCCTCAAGTTGTTCCAAACCTGTATGAATTTCTTTCTTCTGCTGAACACAAAAGGTATTTTGATGAATGACTGTAACCAAACAGTTGATTCCATACTTCTAAAATATGGAAAAAATGCTATAGAAGTCAATGGGATCCATCAACTGTTTGGTTACCGACATTCTTCCAAATATCTTCTTTTGTGTTCATCAGAAAGAAATTTATACAGGTTTGGAATAACTTGAGGGTGAGTAAATGATGACAGAATTTTAATTTTTGGGCGAACTAACCCTTTAACTAAGCTTAATAAAGGCCGTAGAAGTATTGTTCATTGTAAGTTCATGTTAACTAATAAACCTATAGTGTTACCAACATTTTTTAATATTATATACAATTTTATATGGGTCTTTATTCAACTTCAGGCACCTTCATTTTTCAAGTGTTAATTTCTATTTAAATATATGATAATATTAAAATACTATTATATTATTTTTTTTACACTAAATTAATTTTTACATTTTTTGTTTATAGATTTTTTTTCTCTTGTCCTAGTCAGACTTTCATTCTTAAAATATGAAAATCCACCATAAAAAACATGACAATAAAAAAACTATTATAACACAGTGGAATTATAATAAACCAATTCAATATATATTGTGTGGGAATGATTTATAGAAACGTTTTATACAAATTACAACAATGCCCAAGTTGTAGAGTCCACCACAATAAACAATTTTGCCCCTGGTAAAGTTATCTTAAAAGTAGTTTACTTTATGAGGACGTGAAAAGCACGTTAAATAAAATACAAGACATGATTTGTGAAGAAAAAAAAAAAACTAAGGTAATATTGCTTGTGAACAACAACATTTTTGTGCCTCGTTTTCTAATCAAGCTGTAATTCAATTACAAAAAAAGTATGCATTTAATTGGGTGTAATTAGGATACATAAAAAGCTAACTAAGAAATGCCTTAGCAAGACAAAAAAAAAAAAAAAAGTGTATGCAATTAATATTCCAAATTTAACCCCCAATAAAGCAAATTAACTTTGAAACTTTGTTGTAAGGAAGTTTGATTTTATTATGCTAAAAGTGTCCCTTAGTTGAAGAAAACCCCATTTAAAAAAAAACACTGTTTTGTTCATTATACTGATACCTGATTGAATGGGATAATTAGTTCAAATGCTCTAAGTATACCAGTGTATAACGGAGTGTTTTGATTGGTCTGTGATTAGTGAGATGGCTCACCGATGGTAATCTTTGACACAGTAGGGGTTGTTGTCGTCATCTGTGATGAATGGAGCGCCCTCCAGGGTGCAGCTGCAGGTAGTGCAGCGGAAACAGTGGGCATGGAAACACTGACCCACCGCCTTCAGGACACGGTCTGTGATCCGCTCCCCACAGAGGGAACACACAGTCAGAGATTTCTGGAAACACACAATCACACCCAAAGACAAACGGTGAGAAAATCCAACGCAACAAACGGAGTGGGTTACTAAAGTCTCTGAAAAATTCCCCACGTTCATAAAAGTCTGTAATATGGATAACATTGACTATCGTTAAAGTTTTCTGATACCAAAAAAAGCAATGTGTCAATTAAAGAACGGTGAATATGAAATGTCTTGCATCTAAACGGGTTTGTCTCACCGTGTAGCAGTCCTCGCACTGAGGCGTCCCCTCGTGGTCGTAGAACTGCATGCCCTGCAGGGGGCGCTGGCAGCTCATGCAGCAGAAACAATGGGAGTGGAAGAGTTTCTCCATTGCTCTTACTGCTGGCTGAGATCTAGACAGAGCTTCTCCACATTTACCACACACTTCTGAAAGGAAAAATATGTTTATTTTAGCAAAGAAAAATAGAGCTTGAGGATAATGAGAGATTTATGAGATAAAGAAAAGTTCATCATAAAGCAACAAACACGGAGATTAATCTCCAGGATGATAATGGGTGACTGGAGAGGTTGAACTAAAGTACTATTGTACTCTAGAGGTCTAAGGTCATGTTTACACCTGGAATTACGATGCATTTGTCAAAAGTAGACGAGTTCAAAAGTAACATTCCCGTTTACATCTGGTATTTTAATCCGTCTCTTTTGTCCACTTTCAACCACTTCTGTCCTGATTTCTTCGAGGGGAGGGTCTATGGGCGGGTAAATGTATGGTTTTTACCTCAGATCTTTCGATCTAATAGACAAAATAAGCTCACTCAATTTACATATGTTAACACGCTCGGAGACGACGGAAAAAAACATATGGAGAGCCCACGCCGAAAGCTGTGAGTGAGTCTTAGAAATCAGGAATGGTGAGAGGACAATGTGCTAGATACTTTTTCATCCTAATACAAAACTTTGGTCTTCAGCTGACAAAGTTTAAATCCGGTCTGGCTAGCGCGCAACTCCCATAATGTTAACGCTTTAGACCAGTAGGCGTGTGATCCTATCGACCAAAACGCATCTTAATACCACATGTAAACAGGGCCTCAGTTCAACAGCACCGCCCCACCTTAAAAGCATTCCTGACCAATCCTAGCTTAGCAACTGTTGCCATTCTCCATATAGAGTGCAACAGTCGGGTTATAGACGTAAAAATCCCATTTAGAGAGAGGAACTGATTTTTAAATGTTAACTTATAAGCCCTTAAAGACAGACCTATGAGCTATAGGGTTAATTGATGCTATGCTTTTGTTGAAGCCATCAGCCAGTATTATGGTGCGTTCACGTGCTATGGTAATAATGGTAAATACCAAAAGCCGACGTGGAAAATGCACATGAACACCCCCTCATGTGGTATTTTCCACTGGGCAACTCGTAGAATATTTTGATGCACGAGTTCCCGAGATGAGATTACCTTTGACCTTTTCAAAATGGCGGCGAGCAACGTGGCAAAAATATGTACTATTCATGATCTAGAAAACATACAGCATATTATTTACCGTTTGAGTTTTGATAAATCATCTTCTTGCTGTAGCAGATGACTTAAGCAATCTAAAATAGTTTTAGCTAAATAACAGGTCGGGATCTCCATCTTTTTACCACATTACGACAACAAAAGCACTTGAACGCAACACACTGGTAAATACCAGTTCACAAGTGGAAAATATCATATTTTCCATAGCACGTGAACGCACCATTATTTCAACATTTTGAAAACAATAACTGTGGAATTCTTGGTGAAAGACTACATTACCCATGATTCTACAAAAAACCTCCACCAATCAGAGAATCGCAACAAGCAAATCTCACCCAAACTCTCTACTCCCATTGAGCACTGCGAATGACGTAATTGAGTCAATCTCCCTACGCTTTCAAACTATTAAATAGTTATGCATTCAATACCTGTCAAAAGTTTGGAAACATTAAAAAAAATTATGTATTTGAAAGAAATAGTCTCTTATGCTCACCACCAGCGCTGCATTTATTTCGTTCGTTCGTTCGTTTATTTATATTGCACCTTACAGGCTACCAGTATTTAATAAAAAATACAGTAAAACAGTAATATTGTGAAATATATTTTCAATTTCAAATAATTATTTTCTATTTTAATACATTTTAAAAATGTATTTATTCTTGTGATAACAAAGCCGAGTTGTCATCTTAGCAAAGGGTCATCACAACAAGACAGGCAATAAAGAACAAAATCAATCTATGACCAAGAATATAATCAGACTTAAAAATAAACCATAAACAGAACATGAATACACAAACAAACTGTTTACTTCAGTTGCATGTGAAAGTAGGTTGATCTAATCAAAAACGGATCAAAAAGTATTTTTAGTTTTCACCTGCACGCACATCTAAGCTACTAAGAAACCAAAAAAAAAAAAAACCTTCAGTGCTGACAAAGACAGAGTGAGATCATTACAACACTCATCCAGAGAGATCCAGACATGGGAGAGGTGAAGCACTGTGCTGTTTAGACTCTGATAATGAAGTAATAAACTGAGATCGAGAAGCTACATCAAGCTAAACACCTACACAGACAGATAAAGAGAGAGGAAGACAGAAAAAGACCAAGAGAAGCCTTGAACCATTACAGTCAGTGTTTATCACAGCTTGTCCGCCGTGTGTTAAGCAAGAGCCATACGGATGTCTTAAATTAAAAAGTCAATCTTAAGGGTGTGTGTGTGTACACAAGGTTAGGTGTACCTGTAGCTGGAGAGGTGATCACAGGAGGATGTTTGTCCATGTCTTTAATAAACTCCTTAGTCATTTTCTCCAGCTCTTCTACTTCCCTCATAGTGAGAGGAGCTCCACCAGAACCAGACACCTAAAAAACAACAGCATATGTTTGCCATTTTTCAGAAATGACAGAAATTGTGTCATTGTCATTGTGTTAGGCAACTATATACATTTTAAGTAGGGATGCACGATATATCGGCCACCATATTGGGACCGACCGATATACGTTCGTTTTTAATGTTGTTGTTATCGGCCCGATAAGAAAATGTGGCCGATATATTAAAGCAGATCGATAATGGATTATTTCCTTCAGCTGAGAAGCACTGTTTGCCATGATGGTTTTGAATTGGTTGAAATATGATTAGAATCATTTCAAAAAAGGAAAATACAGTTAAGTGCAACACGTGCAGCGCAAGTCTGTCATAAGGCCACATAAATTTTATTGGTGAGATTTTTGTTTTTGTTTTAATCAGGCTCTCAAATATTATATAAAAAATTGGATTTAGATTTATCGGCTTTCAAATATATATATATATATAAAAAAATATCGGTATCAGCCGAAATTTTCATATCGGTGCATCCCTAATTTTAAGTAATGTAAACATCTGAAAAACTTCTATTGATTCACACTGGTTACATTTTGAATAGTAAACATTCATCAATCACAATGAATCACTGTAATATTAGCATATGATCTGCAATTGACCTTTTTCTCGCATCTATTTGCATTTTGAAATGCAACTGGTCTTTTCTTATCTATTCAACATCTATAGTTGCCTTTCCTCCTCATAGACGATGTTGCATTACATTGTTTGCTCAACAAAGCTCACAGAAAAAAAAGATGAGTGCTATGTGTCATGAGTCTCATGACATCAGCAAAATTCATGACTCCGATGCGACATTTCATTTAAGCAGAATATATGCATATGCAAAAACTAAAACCTAAGCTGTCCCAAAAGCCTTGTGTGCTTCATTTTTATTTATGCTTTTATCTATCCTTCGACTTACAGTGCCATTCAAAAGTCAATAAAGTAGTCTCGTTCACCAAGCAGAATATACAGTAAAAAACACAGTAAAATAATAATATAATAATATTAAAATGTAATTTATTCCTGTGATGGCAAAGCTGAATTTTTAGCATTCATTACTCCAGTCTGCAGTGTCACATGATCCTTTAGAAATCATTCTAATATTAATGCTCAAGAAACATTTCTTATTATCAATGTTTTTTTGTGGAAATCATAACATGAACAGCATTTATATAGAATAGAACTTTTTTAGAACATTGTTAAATGTCTTTAATGTCACTTTTGATCGATTTAATGCGTCTTTTCTGAATAAATCGTACTCCCCCGAAACTTTAGAACTTTTGTACACTGACAAAATGTCCGCCATTTAAAATCTGTTCCTGATGTAAAACATCATGTGCTGTGAACAGCCAAATTTATTTAACAAACTAAAGCCTTAAACGTAAGCTTACCAAAACTGTAAAACTAGTCTTACTTCAGGAAATATAAATGTATTTGCACAGTTATTAGTATTTATTTTAAGATTTATTTTTGCCTTGTTACCTTATCTTACCTTACCTTTATTTAAATGACTGCATCACGTTACAATCTAAGGCACACCCACCTTTGGTGTAACAGTGTTTCCTGCTGGTCTGCTGAACGATGCGATGGGTGATTTCTTAGGTGCAGCAGGAGAAGGCGGAGCAAAGCCTTGCTGACTGCCAATGGGAGATGTTTCAGAGAGATTGAAAGCAGGTGTGGGGGCGGGAATATTCACTGGTGGAGCAACAGGGGCAGGAGGAGCCGCAGGAGGAGGCGGTGGGAAAGAGCTTTGGGCGGGGGTTTTAACGGCATGGTTAAACCCTCTTGCGCCTCCAGAAGGTGCAGGACTAACTGTTTTGGAACCAAAATTTGAATTCAGCTGACTGGGAGGGAAGTTGGTTTTTGGAGCAACAGCTGGGCCTTTAGCCAATGACTGTACAGGGGCGGGGGCAGAGGCTGTGCTCTGCTTGGCCGGTCGTGTTCGAGCACGTAGCTCCTCAGCCCAAGGGGCAGGGGGAGGACGATCCGCCAGCTCAGGAGGGGGCAGAAAGGAGAGGGTGGGCTTAGGGGCTTTTGGTGGTGGTGCTACTGGCTTTGGCGCTGGTGCTGATGAAAACTGGCTAGGCAACTGAGCAAACAAACAAACACACACACAGAAATATGTCACACATCAGATGGGGGAAAAGGAACTTTAAAGCCTTACAAAATCTCTAAATTGTGGCATCAGAATGTTGCAAGATTAAGATTGTGAAAAATAATTGTTCCTCCTTTATATTGTTACTTCCTTATTTAACAATTGCTTTATTTGTAAAAAATACTATAATAGGATTGCAGAATCAATAAGAATGGCTGCATCAAGTTCAAATTATTTGTTTTCATGTTGATTCATTTACAAATGATTTATTCCTAATTTAGTAAATACTATGTAAAATAAATATGCATTTTATTGCAGAATGTGTTATTTTATGTGTGTTTTTTTTAGTGTGATATTATATATATATATATCAGCTTTATATCAGTCATTGGCCACCCTAAAAATCCCTACAATATCGGCATCTGCAATCAATTTCATATCTGTTGACCTCTACCAAAAAATAATAGAGCAGCACGAACATTCGTCAAAACATCTCCTTTTGTGTTCTTCTAAAAATAGTAAGCCTTGGAATGGCATTAGAGTGAGTAAATCTTGCCACTATTCCATTAAGGTTGAAAAATTAAAGGGAAATAAACTGAACCCTGAAGGTCAAGATTAGAATGTCAGAGGTTAAAGGTTGTGCGATTACCTTTGGGTTGAAAGGTCCACTAGTCTCCATCTCTGATAACATATTGGTCAAAGAGCCCAGCTGCCTGTCAAAACTCGTCTGTTTCTCAATCAGCCTCTATGGAGAACAAAACCAGAGACAATATGAGAGAGAGAAATTGAGGGGGGGAGACAAGATGTGTGTGGGGTGTAGGAGAGGTTGGAAAGGATGTGGATTAGGAGAGAGGAGAACGACAAGAAAGGGTGAATCAGACATGAAATCTGATGTCGTGTTGGAAAGAGTGCATGAGTGTATAAATGTTAGGCAATAAAAGGGTGGAATAGAGTACAAAGCAAGAAAAAAGGAATATGTGAAACAGAAAATGACAGGGTCAGAGCTGAAAAACAATCCAAAGAACATTAAACGTGTGAAGAACAGATATAAAAAAGGATAAAGAAAATGGTGCCTTGAGAAGTGTTCCTAGATTATAATTCATGCATAGTTAGTCATTTGAGCAAATTATATGAGATAATAAAAGAGCAGAATGTGCGTGTGAATCCGCACTGACAATTAAATGAATCCACAAAGAAATTTGGAAGAGCTTAGAAATTGGCACAAATGATCTGTAATAAATTTTTTTTGCTTTTTTCATACATCAAATGACTTGCGGCTCAGAGCGCAGACACAACCCAACAAACGCTGTCATGTTATTAATCCCCTGGTTGTCCAGTTATCCAATCACATCATCTGTTGTTGAGGCAAAGTTTATTATTGCACATCAAAGGATTTATTCTGTAAATGTGATTCCGTTATAGTTTGTGCGCATGTCTTCTTATCGACTAAAAAACAATTACCAGTATGTGCCTCAATTGAGAGCATACATTTTTGTCCATTTTTAGAATTTGTGCATCTTTGCGTTTCCATCATCCAGCATTTGTTATGCGATAACCCCCAAATCACATGAAAATAGGTGAATAGCTAAATAGCATGAATTGCATTTTTATTAGGATAATATTAATACTGGGATATTGGATTTAATTGTGCATGCTAATTTTCCCCCTTTTTTACATTTAGATACTTAACACCAAGGGCCAGATTTACTGAACAGGGCAAATTAGCGCGACAGCGCAATTAAAAAAAGCGCAGATGGGAGTGGAAAATTCTGTGTGTGATCTACTGACGATGCGCAAATTAAAGAACAGAGACGCAGCCGGATCATTTCCATAATGACCAACAATCCACCAAGAGCAGAGCAAATTAGTGTCTAGTTCAAGACATGCTTTTTTTGGGCTGTAAAAAATAACGGCGCAAATACCAGTAAATTGACTAGCGCAAACCTTAGTAAATCACCTCGCATGATTCATTTAAATCAGTGGTTCTCAAGCTTTTTTGGGCCAGCGCCCCCTATCCAATATCCAGGTCTCTGACCTCCTGCAAAAATAACCCTGTCCACGCCTTTTCAGCGCTCATTTTTCACTGTGTATCTTTAGTAAGTCCTGACTGTAGTTTTTTAACGGCAAAAGAGGGTTTGTGCTGGTGCAAGCTGTTAGTAAATCTGGCCCTAATAATTTAACTGTTATGTAAATGTAATCTTTAACAAATCTCAAAATAAATATTGCTTATGCTTAAAATCACTTGTAATAAATGTTTTGCTGAGAATTGACGCGTTTGGTCTCCTTTTGTTGCAGCCTTCGAGCCGGCTGTAACACATATAAAAAGACTATTTTAATTTAGAAAAAAGGTTAATATCTAACATTTACTGGTATCATTCAATTTTAATAATAGTTAAAAAGTTGAGACACATCAAGACCCCTTCATCCCAGCATGCTCTGTCCAGCTGTTTTGGAACACAAGAACATGTTCTATGACTATGTGAACACTACCTAAAGCATCTGATCGGAGTCAGGTCAGGTGACCACACAGCTATCTGAAGACAAATTAGTTAACTAGTTGTTTAGGCAAAAGGTCAGCAAATTTTTGTCCATCTCTTAAATCTTCTATAGAAAGGAAATGTTTCACGAAAAACTTATTTTTATTGCTCTCAGTAGAAACAGCAGGTCTTGTTTGATTGAATGAGGCCCTGTGAGAGTGATGATGTAGCCCAATTAAATTGCACTCACCACAATAACACATCCATATAAGCCCCGACTCTATTTATGGAAAAGTCAGCAGACAGCACGTATAACTGTGTCTCACAGGACAGCGGAGATTTACTGCAGCAAACTGCTCAATTCAACTTGCCCATCTTCTCCATTTACAAGAAGAGTCACTAGAACTACAAAAGCCTGTAAAATGCCACATCAGGCCATAAAGAGGGAGAATTAATGATGCACCAAAATTTCAGTAATTTGAAAGATTACACACTCGCATGAGGTGATTTTTCAAGCAATTCAAAAAAGGAATATTTCGCAAAACTGCAATTGAAACAGTTTTTCCGAATTTACAGGTCACCTGATGTAGATGGCTCCGTATATTAGGACAGAAGACGAGACAGTTCTTCATTAAACTCATAAAAGTGTTTCAGTGTGTTTTTGTTATGTGTAGTGTTTCAACCTTAGAAAGATGAAATCAATACAACAGCTTGTAAAAAATGTCACATATCGTTGCATTTACCTCAGTTTACAAGAATGTCTATAGCTCATTAGTTAGCTGAAAAAATATATATACGTGCATCGTTAGTCAGAATGGAGTTTTCTAGGTTTAAAAAGGCATACAATTGTGGTCAGTATAGTGTGAAAGCTTTTTAACCTTAACACTAGAAGCGCCAGAATTCCATAACTACTAGAACTGCCACAAGCGGTCATTTTGACCATTAGATTGCAAACTCTATATCTTTAATGATAAATACCCAATTGAGAGATTAATGCATTTATTGTATTAGGATATCTTTTAAAAACAAAACAACACCAAACTGTACATTTAAAAAAGTTTAATTGTACATTTATAAATAATAATATCAGTAGCCCGTAATTATCGCATAGGGCCTATTCACAACAGATCTATATTTCCATATCCATTCAACATAACTCAGAACAAGATAACAACTAAAAGTATCTTATTTAGATATTCTTTTGAATATTCTGAAATATTCTTTTGAGTGAGAGACAATGTCACGGTTTATGAATTCGCTGTCTCCTTTCTCGTCTTGTTGTGTGTGTGTGTGTGTGCGTGGTCACTGATCATTACAGCTTTACAGCGATTCGACCCTTTTCAGTGTTACTGTTGTTGCCTAGTCTTTGTCAGATCGTTGTGGATTTTTCCTGCGTGTTTGTTCCCTGCCTGTATCCGTTTTCCGTGTGTCATCCCGTGTTCAGCACTCACTCCAGCGTCCCTGTGCTGCCAAGCCAAGGGCTTCATACCGGACATTTGCACACCTTAACTCTCCCAGCAGACCAGCTCTCAATAAACATCTGTCATTTTGCAATTGAATCTTCTGATTATTTCCTAATAGACAAAGGTCAACCGCGAGAAATCTAACAAAAGAATACCGCGAAATTCAGTGCGGTCAATATGACCGTCTATGGCCGAAATAGGTAAATATGTTCATTTGTTTGTTTGCCTTATGTGTAATTTATATTAAAAACATTTTAAATGAAAATACAGACACTTTTAGGAAAAGTCATGTACCAGCAGGATTTTATTTATTTTTTCAACAAAGTTATTGCAGATATAAAATTCAAAACGGTCAAAATGACCGTTGTGGCCGTTCTAGTGTTAAAGGACCAGAAATAAGAAAGGCTGGGAATATCACAAGGGCACGTAAAGACTTGCTAAGATTAAAATCAAATTGGAATCAAATCAAATCTTTGGTAACCTACCTGAGAGTTGACACCTGCACCGGTCTGAGGGAGAGGAGGAGGAGGTGGTGGTGGTGGTGGTGGTGGTGGTGGGGGGAAGGAGGCAGAAGGTACAGAGATAAACTCTTCAGGAGGTGCAGGGAGGTGCAGGTCTTCTGCAACTGGGGGCGGGGCTGGGAATGCAGGAGGAAGGGCATCAGATGCAGGGGGTGTGATTTGGCATTCTGGAGGAGGGGCTGGGAGCTCGGCATCATCCAGCGGAGGAGGAGGAGGGGGCGGGAAGTCTAATGAACGAAGGCAGTGAACTTCATTACACTCGCACCAATTCACAATGACAAAACAATCCCTTTCTTCATTGTCCTTTCACCTTAACACAACGCATGATAGCATAGCTTATCTACATTAGCATTTATTGCTTCTCTCACATGTGAAAAACAATTTGGCATTTGAAGGACAGTGCAGATATTGAATATGCCACACACCAGTAAAGACAGAAATGCAGTTCAGTTTAATCCTTAAAATCATATTCAGCAGTTTATCAGCAAAACACTTTCAACACTTTGCTCAAAAGTGAATTCTTTAACAGTCATGTCTGAAAATGCATGAAAAGCTTCTTAAAAAGCACCTCATGTTCGATCTGTAATAAAGGATTAATGACCCACCAGTGCCATCATAATGAAGAATAAAGTTTCAAAAAATAGTTTGGCATAATCTTCTTTTTTTTTTATTACATTTAATTTGTAAGTTTAAAAAAATAAGAAAACTACTTCACTGCTTGTTAACATTTGAAATCAATGTCATGTGGTGCATCTAAGCATGATGAAGCATGTTAAAAAACAGGAAATGTTATCAGAGACCACATGTAGACCCTCATGACTGTGAGTCAGTTAATAATTCTCTAAAATATCAAATAATGACAAGGCTAGGTTAGTTTAGATAGTAAAATCACATGTGGTTCAACTCATTGAAAACTTAAAATATTTATTTATAATGAATTATTATATTATTATATTTATAATGAATAAGAGGTGTACACACATGTATTAAAGGTGTAAGAAAAATATATTATTAGCATTACTTTTACTTGATGGCTACACTACATGACATTTTTAGGGTTATTAAAATAAAACTATAGCCTAAACGCTTTCCAAAACCATATAAAACAATCTTTATACAAAGATGACATTTTTAAGAATTTGCCACGTGTTCTAAACTAGATTTTGAAAAGACTTTTCTTGTTCTTTATCACAGATTGGTCTTATATTAGAAATTACATTTCATCTTTCATGGAAATTGCCTTACCCTCACAAACAGCTGAAGGGGGCGGGGGCATCTCTCCAACTCGTCCAATTACACCAGTGCTTACAAATGGAGAGGGCTGTGATGGGGCCATCTGTATTTTGGGGCGTGGAGGAGCGACAGATGCAAACTTTTTGGGTTGGTTGTAGAAAGAAGGAGCGGTAACTTTGAGGGAGACCGAGGAAGTTACCACAATGGGCTTGCCGCTACTAGAGTCAGACATCTTGATCTGAAAAATACAACAGTATGCATGTAGTCAAAGAAGTGTTACAGTTAAGATCACCATTTCTGCACAACATTTTCCAATGCAAACAAACTAATTCAAGACCACTTTGCTGCATAGTTTGGCAGAACAGCATATGGAAAATCTTAACGGTTAGTACGTGGTCTGTAGCTTTGGTGCCTGAAACTGCTTTATTCATGCAGAATCGCTTCTCAAGAGAGCCGCCCACCTGTATGTAGGTTAGTCAACCATCTGGGTTCAATTTGAAAGAATTCTCCTGCATCTACAGCTTTGAAACACCCAGAACATGAGCAGGAAACGTCCCTTTAATATTTTTAGCATTATACAATTGTTTAAAAACAAGATGTGGTCTGCATTTCAGTAATTACAGGGAAGTAAATGTATCTTTGTGAACAATGTTGTTCCCTGTTTTGTCAACTAAAAAAACATAACTGGTTTTAAGATAAGTTTTTTTTAACCTCTAAACTAACATGAAACCAAAAAGTTATGTGTACCTTAACTGTTTTGTATGACTTGGGTGAGGTATAACAAGGAAATCATTCACCAAATTATTGCATAAGGGAATTCCATGAATTAGTTGCCAAGCATTTCACTTCCTGTTATGTACATCTCAGGTACTTCCATGTTGTCTATTTTGACTTGTTTCAGATCCACTCTTTGTTTAACTCGGTTTCATATCTAGAGAAAAGTCTCACTGTCAGAAATCTGCTTTCAACAGTTCATTCTTAAAGGGATCACACACAACATTTTTAGTTATTTCTTGTCCTTTAAAGTCCATTTTTAATTATGTCATTTTCAAGTGTTTTCACCCTTTATCTAAGCTTTAAACAGTCAGTTTAACAGTCGCCTTCAATTGTGAATGAGCAATACATTTTTTACTGCCCCATTCTTCAATAACAGCCTCTTTGCAAATTATAGGTGCTTTCGCACTGGGTAGTTATAGGAACTAAGTTCTAGGAACTAGTCACCAGTCCCCCGTGAACTTAATGTTCCTCTAGAACCCTTTTCCTGATTGCATTCGCACCACCAGTTGGAACTTTGAAGTGACGTAAACCGTGACGTCCTGTCGGTCTGGTTGTTGTGCAGGAATTTAATTTAGACGCCGATGAGAATGACTTAACCAGAGCCTGAACACACATTGCTCCCATGCTCCGTTTTTATTAGTTTACGATGTTTTACAATCATATCTTATACGTTATTAGATAGAACTGTTAAAAAAAGAAAGTAAACGGTATAAGTATTATACCGTGTGGTTGATGCCCAATGTCACTAGCCGAGCAGAAATACATAATCAGGTTTCGATTGGTCCCTTCAAAGTCGCGTTGGATTTCCTCCTCAGCGTAAAGGTTGAGAAGTGCCTGGACTTCTGCGTCGAGTAAATATATAGGCTATAAACTGTTTGCACACTGCTGGGTTAGACCCTACTCTGAAGTAGGAGCTAATTTAGTTCCCCCAAAAGGCGTTCCTAGAACTAAAATCGTTCCCAGTTCCTGCTGTGCAAACACGCCAAAAAGCGAGTACTTCCGCCATTATATAGGAACTGTATGAAAAGGTTCCTACAGTGCGAAAGCCCCTTATGTTTATGCTCTGACCACAATTAACAGGAACCTTGTTAAAATAAACCTCCTAAACCATTCCTACCATTTACTGTAGATCCTTCAGAAGGATACACAACCAGTAATAGAGCAAAGTTTGGCAAACATTCACACATTTTATTTCATTAGTTCAACTGGTGTTTAGGAATAATAGCATATCTATCCTAGTAAGTTGATACAAAAAAATGAATAAACAAATAAAAATAACAATACTAGCCTTTCTGCAGTACCGGTAGTATCGGTGATGCTATCAATTAATACTATCAATTATCATCTAAAGTTAATGTTAACTTTGGCAGCCTTAAAATCTTATTTTGTAAAAATATTTAGCATTCAGTCGATTTTCCTCCTTCCAATCAAAAACCGATGGATAGAACCTACAAGTGCCTACATTTATTTCTTTTTCCATAATCCATTTCACTCAAATGTACGTCGCAATATGAATTTTACTGGTTTTGTAGGGACTACTGAAAGTTTATTATTGTAACAACACTAATCTATCCTGCATTCTCGATGTTATCTCACGGTGAATGGGAGTGTCAAGTTTCTGATGACACAATAGGTATCACTGACATGAACCTTGAATCATCAGTGTGAGGTCACAAAGTTACAAAGTTGAGAATGAGCCATTTTTGCAGCTTAGTTTCAAAAGATGCTCTTTTGGGAAAAGAATGTTTTGAGTTCTGAAAGTTATGATACCTTTTCATAGTACACAAAGTCCTTTTATTTCATAAGATCAAGCCCAATTCAATTTGTCATGATAGGACCCCTTAAAATTATGTACTAACAGGACACAGCAGAACACAGATGGTCAGAAACACAGTACAAAGATACAACCTTCTCTTGTTGGAGGATATCATTAGGGCCCAAGCCTTGAAAAGGCGAAGGCCCTATTGTTTTCCTTAGGATTATTTTTTTTTTTTTTTTTTTTTTTCTCCTCTTTTATTTTTCTTACGACTATTCGGGCACTTTTGGGGCTCTTAACGTGCACGAAAACTCTTGAAACTTTGCACGCGGGTCAGAACCCGCGGCCATCAGGGTCGGGGTGAAGATGGTACCCGGGCGTGGCAGGGGGGCTCGACAGCGCCCCCTGGAACGGGGTCCGAAAACTTGGTCCATAAATCAAACACGCTTGTATGTAAGAATATGAAACTCGGTACACATATAGATCTCATCGGTTCATATATACTTCATGCTCTTACTTTTTACCCCAGCCCAACAGGAAGTCGGCTATTTAGGGTTGTTTGTAAAACGCATGCAATGGAATTTAAAGTACTTCTCCTAGAGAATTCAAAGAAATGCCTCGAAACTCGGTCAGCATGAAGTCAAGACATTGAGGATGAAAAATTGCGAGGGGATTTTTGATATCTCGAACGGTTTGGCCGTGGCGGGGAAACGAAATTATGGCGAGAAACGTGAAACAGGAAGTGTGTTATAACTTCTGCATACATTAACTGATCTTGATGAAACTTCACCAGTGTGTTCGCTGTAAGAGGCCGATCACATGGATGTGACTATTGTGAGTCAAAGTTATAGCGCCACCAACTGGCAGCAGGAAGTGTGTCACTTTCAAAATGCTTCGAAATCACCCTCTTATTTTAACCCAATTTGCTTCAAACTTCATCTGTATAATGTAAACATACGCCAGATGTAGACCTGTGAATGGATTCTTGATATCTTTGATACTGTTGCCGTGGCAACACATCAAACTTTAAAATTATTTTTTGATGCTTTTGAGACTCTTAGCATGCTTGAAATTGCATGAAACTCGACAGACATGTCACATATATTAGCCAGTAGACATGTGCAAAGTTTCAGGAACGGGCGTGGTGCAGGGACTCAGTAGCGCCACCTTTTGACAAAAGTGAGAGGGTTAGTTTCATAGTTTTACCTGCAATCTTAAAACTCGGTAGGCATATTGTTCAGATCAAGCCGGACAACTTTCTAATTTACAGTTTTTGGTTCCGAACAACAGGAAGTCAGATATTTTGGTTTGAATGGGATGTTTTGGAGTAATCTCTGTCCCTCTCTCCCTCTCTCTGCATACCTCTGTGTCTGTGGGGGGAGGGGGATGTGTCTGTTTGAGTGACAAAGCTTTTAATTATTGTTGATCAAGGTTTCGGGGGCTTTTGGGGCTCTTAACATCCTCTAAAACTCTTGAAACTTTGCACACGGGTCAGAACCCGTGGCCATCAGGGCCGGACTGAAGCTGGTACCCGGGCGTGGCAGGGCGGACCGACAGCGCCCCCTGGACTGGGATTCGAACACTTGTCCATAAATCAAAGACACTTGCATGTAATAATATGAAACTGTGTACACTTATAGATCTCATTGGGTTAAACAACTTTCGTGCTCTAAGTTTTACGACATCCCAACAGGAAGCCGGCTATCATGGTTTGTTTGGAAACGCATACCCCTGAAATTCTATTTAATTCTCCTTGGGAATTGATCGGATTTCAAGCAAACTCGGTCAGCATGACGTCAAGACATTGATGATGCTAAATTCCGGAGGGATTTTTGATATCTCGAACGGTTTGGCCGTGGCGAGGAAATTAATTTTATGACTAAAAAAGGACACATAAAGTGTGTTATAACTTTGCTCGTTTTACCTACAGTTACAAAACTTGCCACGCATATTGTTCTCATCAAGCCAATCGACTTTCTAATTTAAAGTCATTAGCTCAGAGCAACAGAAAGTCAGATATTGTAGTTTGAATGGATTTCTTGTCCCCCTGCCATTCTGTTTGTGTGTGTGTCTGTGTGGGGAGGGGAGCAGAGGGGAGGGGAGGGAGGGAGGGTTGGTGTCTGTGTTTATGTGTGTGTGTGTGTGTGTGTGGCTGGCTGTATGATTTTTCCTGCATTAAAGGATAAAGAAATCTCTAAGTCCTTGTCTTTTCGCATAACAATTTTTGTATTTTTTTTTAAATGACAAAATATGCATCACTCCTCTTAAGTGGTTTATTTTATTCCCACCAAACTTTTTCAACATGATGAAAATACATTAAAGAAGCATAATTGTGAATATCTATTGAATATCTCTAATTGTTTTGCTATGGCGAGGGATTAAAGTCATGTAAAAAAAAAAAAAAAACACTAAAAGCTTCATATCTTCTAAAAATGTAATTATACACCATTTATTTCTAGATAAAATTATACAAATATCAGAACTAAACCCATTTTATTCTTGTTTTCAATTTAAGAATAATGTACAAGTTTAAAAACAGCCAGGATGCACTATTCAGTTAAAAAATAAATATATCAAATAATACATAGGGCTATACTGCCCTCTTGTGTTCAAAATCAGGTAGGCCTGTTGTATTTAAATATAGGTAGCTGCTATGTGACTCCGAGAATTTTTTCTCACCGGTTATTTGACGTGTAACACCGGGG